ATTTCAATCCATAGCTTTTGTTTTGTACAATACATTCAATGAGACTCTCTACATCGACATACTTATTTAACTTAACTAACTACAATATAAGTAAGGTAAAAGACCCAAAAGCCGCTAGTGACCCAGTAATTGTTAATAAGACCCTAGTAATGTAACGCTGTTAGATGATTTTACAGTTCATCTGAAAGGAACTAAGTCAGAGGGCTCTCAATACACCATTTTGCTTTGATGTTCATCGGGTCTCTAATCTAATTAGAACACTATAGTTAACGTATATATCTAGTCTCTAGCTTTACTTATATCAAGCATAAATTTTCTATAACTGATTTGTAAATATCGACAAGTTGCCAATAATTAAATCAAAATGTCAGTTTGATCACACTATGTAATAAACTGTAATTAGTTAATGACTAATCTAAAACAATCAGATACAAAACCGCGTGAAATCCATTCAACCGTAATAGGCAATTAATCCTCCATCGCGAACCCATTTAAAATCACGCGAAGTAAGAAAAAATCATTTAGAAACAGATGTATCCGTGGTACCGTTATTGTTTAAATTAATTTTATTATCTATGACATGACAATAATTTGTTCACGCAAGACATTAAAATGAAATTAGATGGGCGAGATTGTTGAGGGGGAGCTAGGGATGAATCGGTTACTGTCAAAATAGAGGTTATATTTGAGATGTGACAACCCTACGCCGGTAAAGCGGTGAATAAATCACATAATCGGATCGAAACGAACGCAGATCAACTATTTATTTATCCTTTGACGTATACTTTTGTACTTCACAAATTTATTTGAATGCTGGTACGATGTTTAGTATGTTTAATAATACTTTTTAGTTAGATAGATTTTATACAAAAGCTGTACATATAGTTGTTAGTTAAAGTATGAAGTAAGTTTGCACAGTTTCCATTTTCATTTTAGAAGAAAGCCTTTACATAAAAGATCACCTTTTTTTACTAATACGACCAGTTTGAGTACATATCGGTAGTTAATAAAACTTTATTCTATCCACAAATTAATCGATTAATTCATAATTACAGTTACATAAGCATAACTAATTTCACTATTATGTCGCAATTGTGAGCACCCTCGGTGCACCCCTCACGTACAGGGGAGCAGGAGGTGTGAACACGTGTTACTGATCCTAAAGCGATCCCAGGAGATGCGATCTATTTCATTTGATACACTTCACTTTGATAGACTCTACAATTAGTGATGGGTTACGGTTATGAAAATTGATATTCTTTATTGTATCTATTGCGCAGGTAAGCGCGAGAAAAAACCACAGAAACATATGTAAAAAAAATGACAATACAATTAAAAAGGAAAATCTTATGGACATAGTATTCTCTATTATACTTACAATAATTCGATATTAAATTAAAGCCTAACTAAACAATATTAATTAAGGTATAGAAAGCACGAAGTAAAACACACGAAAACGGACAGATTCATGAAACGATTCCACGTACAACAACATAAAGAGGCCGGGCGCTGCCAAGCTGTGGGTTTCATTACATTCTAAATACTCTTTTTAGCACAAAAGGACTTCAAAAAGGTAAGCGCACGGTGGAACACAAATCTTGCGCGCGAACCGTTAAATTAAAAATAAATATTGCGAAACGTCAGCATGTTAGGGGTCGGGAAATATCGGGAAAAAATAAAAGAGCGTCAGAATAGCCGCTGTCAGTTCACAGGCGGGGCGAGGCGGGCAGCGGGGGAGCGGAGTGGGTAAGGTGAATCTTTTTGTGAAGTGGAGAGAATTAATTTAACCCGCTGCGGGGTAACCGACATGGCGGTAATTGAAAAGTTGGCCCCTTGTCGGCGGCGGCGGCGGCGGCGCGCCGTCGGCGATACGTCTCCGCGACACTTCGCTAAAAGTGGCCTAAAGCCTTATCATAATTGTGGCCATATTTATATTTTATGCTGTAATTATGTGATTAAAAAAAAACAATAGATTCATGTATATAAACTACGTTGGTTGGTGGTCAAATGTGAAAACTTTAAAAAATTATAACAGAAGTAAGACTTTGGTAGACTCATGTTTTAAATAATTGAAATGTAAAAGAAAAACCTGTAAAATGAAGTTAAGTTCCACCTATAAATGTTTAAATACGCAAGAATGGCACTTTAAATATTCAAAGTAAAAGCTTTTTGATTCCAAAACCCTTTAACTTTTTTAGCGAAATTCAAAAAGTGTCGAAACTTGAAGTAGGCGTTGGCTTGCTCGCAGTTTTCATTGATTTTAATTTAATTTTCGCAAAGTTAAATTGGGGATTACGTCTATTTTATGGAAGTGATTTTCGAGAGATTCCGTCTTTTGTTTATATTTGTTAAATACATTTTTGGAATAGATCGACTACTACTACTGCTTCTGACCTTTCTGTAAATAATATAGCTTATATTGTGATCTGTTAAGTGGAACGAGACAAAATGTCTGTCTGTACCTTGATTAATTTACCGAGTTAATCCATTATTCCGCGGCTGCGGCCGGTAAGCGACCTAGTCGAAGTGAAAATGCATGAATTATAAATAGCTATCGGCTTACTCTGCTCTCGCTGGCGTGGCGCTGCCAGCCGAAGTCGTCTCGTTCCATTGTTACATAAAAGATACATACTGCAGAGAGCCTAGCACGAAAATTTACGAGAAAGTATTGGTCGTCATTGACGTTTATATGAGATAGCTTGTGCTCTCGTGAAATTGTATCATAGCCTATGGCCTAAATCGGCCTAGTAGGTTTTATGTAAATCAAATACATACGAAAGTACAAATCTTTCCTCTTTATAACATTAGCACAGATATAGATTTGTCGCCGCAAAAACCTTATACAAAGCTGGTCAATATTGTCATGAATACTTTATCACAAACATTCGTGCTAGATTCCCCATTACGATGTATTTACAGACACAATACGTATGTATTACTAGCTGTTACCGTGCGGCTTCATCCGCATTAAGTTATGAAAATTTTATGTTATTGTTTACATTTGTCAAATTATCAATAGCAAATGTCAAAATGACATGATATGACAAACCTTGGCAATCTTGCTTCCTTGGTGTTGGCAGCAACTTATGGTCTATTTTCCACATTAGGGCTTTTATCCAAAATATTTAACCCCTAAGTTTAATGGCGTGAAAATTTATATCTTAAAGCGTGTCGTAAGTGTAGGGCTTTTTATTATATAAAGAATTATTCAAAAATATGCTGTAATTGCTGACATCTTAGGCAACAAAGAAATGTGTGTTTACGCTTTATTATAATAGTATAGATAACAGTTATGATGAGTCTTTTAATTTTGTTACTGTTGAAATTAAAAAAAATGGTGACGGAATTTCATCGAAGAGAATACTAAAGTAAAAAATCAAATAAGTAACTAAGTTATTGAATACTCTTAAGGCCATTAGCACGAGCAGAGCAGGTGAAGTATAACACTATGTATATCTATAGGCTGATATTAGTGGCTTCTTACTATCTCAGTGACGTAATTAATTCGACACTGATTGTTCAACTGACTACATTAGGCTTTATATATATGTGTAACGCGGTAGTATACTGTTGGCCGAGCGGCAGCGGAGTCTAAGTTTCGTGAGGGCGTATAATTACGCGAGCGAGTAAACATATAAAGGTAATCCGGGTCGCGGCGGCACAAAGTGATGCTCGTGAATTATTCAGCGACGGCACCTGCGCGCCGACCGCAGTGTGCGAGGGCTACCTAACTGCTGTACGAATCCACTGTGCAAAACTCTAATTCTTACCTCTTAAATGTTAGATGTTCTACGAACTTTTGTGGTCTTTTTTCAACACGAAATGTACGTTCATAAGGTAAATGTAATGCGCCAAAGAAGTAAATTTTATCACTACTAAGGTCTATGAATCCCTTCAACCCTACAAAAAAACGCGGTGTAAAGTTAAACTTAAAAATAAACAGAATATAAACAAAATGTCCACTAGTATTTGCGTATACTCAGTTTATTCCTAAGCTAAACTTTATACCGCGTTTATTTGTAAAGCTGTTAGAGATATCCGAAAAATCATCGTCCGGTTACAGGTACATAAATGTATTAACATTGTTAATACAACCAAAATTTGCCTGAATTGTTTGAGATGTTGAATGAATGAGAAATAATATCTAATTTTTGAGTGTCAGCCCTGAGTGATTGTGCCAAGTTTTAAGGCAACGTAAAAGGCTTTGTCACATGGTGAGAGATATCGCACGACTTGTGGCGGACGCGGTGCACTATGAATATTCAATTATTAACGAAATTATGCTTAATTATCCAGATTTTGCGATATATGAAAATTCGAGGGGAATTGTTGTTGCACGAGTTTCAGAATGTTATAAATACATAGATACTGGATCATATACAAGTGATAGATTTTAATTATTATTTAACGAAATCATGTCGATAAATATTTACGTATTATTGAGTTAAAAAACTCATAGTATCAATTGTTAGCAATAAAAATAACACACTATACAACGAATACATAGTTTTCTAAAATGTTTTTGCTATATTACATAAAAGTAATAAATAAAGATAACAAAGGACTGAAGGAGGTTATATCAGATGTATGGAGATGGCGTAATGACGGATGTATCGTCCGCTTCGAATGGGGCTGGCTGGCAGTTGTCACCGTATTTATTACATTCAGTATATCAAATAGAGCACAAAGCGACCTGCTGGGAACGTGATCGAAACAGTAACAAAGCATTTTCTTTATACCCTCTATGTTTCTTACAATCTTACGTTACTTGATAGAATTTGTTTCTTTTAACAAGCATGTAGGTAGTTCTATTTATCTTATCTTGGATTTTGTAATTAATGACAAATAGCGGCGGAAAAGCATTCTCATGTATATACCATAGTTAATCTTTTTAAATCTAATAGTTTAGTGTTGATTGATTTTGAGCTACTTATAGGGATAGGGACTTATATAGGGACGAGTAATATGTGATGTTTGTATTAAAATAAGAAATATCTTACCATCTTTGTTCATATTGGCCTGGAAACACTTAGCAAGTCTGCATGCGCGACATTGGTTGCGATGTGTTTTGTCGACAGGACAGCGGCCCTTCAACTCGCCGCCCGCTTTGCAAGTGTACACGCGGTTCCTGTGTATCGATCGCTTGAAGAAACCCGAACACCCTGCACATAAAACTTCATTAAGTCGGTGAGTATATTACTTATAACAATTTTCTCTGGCGAGACTTACCGTCGCAGCTGTAGATGCCGTAATGTTTGCCGGAGCTCCTATCCCCGCATACATTGCACGGTATGTCCAGTAACCGGTCACCTGATAGAAATTAACAAATGTTTTATAAAACGCGTATTCCTGTGATATAAAATTGTATGTAGTTTCAATATTGAGTTTGTCAGCAGATCATATGATGTTCTTGTCTATGAATAATGCGGTAGTGCCTTTGCCACTTGTTATGTTGTTTATTCTTTAAAGATTCTGTATTATACTGCCTTATTTTATATCTATAACAATTGTATATTTATTTTGAAAGAACAGAAGTGTACAATTGCTTGGTGATCATTAAATCTACTCCGTTTCCTCACAAGAAATGTTTATCTATTAATTGACACTTCCGCCCACCGACGGGCGCCCCCTTTGCCAAAATAGATTAGTCAGATTACAACAATCTCGCTAATAACGTTGGTGTTTTTGTTCCGTTTACAGAAACCTTCCCCTTCAGTCCCTTTTCCTCAACGCTTACAATGGACTACATTTACACCGTGTCGAAATTTGTCTTTATAGAAAGACGTTGCGAAGGCCTTTTAAATATTACTCTTTAAGTACTATGTTGGCTCAAATTTGTGAATCTATTATTTTTAAAGCATTCATAAAAAATCAGTATAATCTATAAGATCAATTACCTACTTATTATCATTTCATAACGTTAGACCATAATTTACAAATTCGAAATTAAAGATACTTAAATGTTTAATATCTCAATAGCAGCACAGAGAGAATATAACATTTCATGTTAAAAAATAAACATGAAAATGTTACGCTACTGTGTAAGAAGAGGTCGTCTATAATACCAAGAATCCTTTCTAAAGATCTTTTCTTTCCTCGGCGAAATGGACTTAGACGACTTTAGTGATCGTCTTTGGGGCCTCTGAGAAAAGCCGCGAAGTGTCGTAATTATCTCCTTTCGTTTCGCCTCCAAAAGGATTTTGTATCAAAAAGAATTTACGAGATTAGCTCGCTTTGAATGAAAAAAATTAAGCGTTGCCTTTCATCCATAAAGCGATTGTGGATTTTTCTTACGTAACAGTTTAATAAGATGAATGAATTAAACAGGAATTATTTAATATTTTGAGGTAAATAGAAGTATAAAATTAAAACATAACCTGCGAATTCGTTCGGTAATCAATACCTATTCAGTATTTAGTACCTACGATTTATTTTTATGATAATCTGTATTTGTGACCAACCATTGTTTAGTTGAGTTTAGATAGTAGTTATTTTATTATCTCAATGTGGTTGGTGTTTATTTCATTTTTATAATCATTGAAATGTAAACGTGATCAAAGTGTTAATTTGTTTCATTTAACAGCCGTGACGGGGGACGATGGGGTGAACGTTGCGTCCGACGCGTAATACGCGCAAAATTACCGACGCCGTGTGAAATGCAACACTCATCCTAATACCTAAACACATTAATTGTAGATATATTTAGTTACATTCATTGCAGTCTTCGTTATACGCATCTATTTGTATTTAATAATAAATTACTAGGCCTATTTTTGATATCTATTGTTTGTTATAATTATAATGTTAAAAATACACTCAAACACTACTGGATTTCATGACTTTTTGACCGACTTCCCAAACGTACTCAATTCGTCGATATGTTTTTTTTTTAATTTTTTTTTATGTGTGTTACGGCATAACTCCGTCGCTAGTGGACCGATTTGGATAATTCTTTTTTTTATCCGAATTACCTTTCTACATTGACTGACACCGACATCAAAGTAATAATAATTGTACAATATAGACATAACAGTTACAATAAGGTAGGTTTACTATTTTCAAGGAATTATTTCGTTACTTTTTAGTGTACTGTTTTTTGAGAATATTTTGTTTTTAGTATTTTTTGTTTTGTTTTTAGTGTATTTTGTTTGGAAGCCGTGTTGTTTTTTTATTAAAAAGTTTATTTATTGTCATTATCTATATTATCACTACCAAACACTTACCAATCTACTAATATTTATTAGTATATTACTTTTAAGCTAGTCAGATAACAAATATACTACCAATGGTCGAAACCGTAACCATTTTTATTAACCCGAAGAAGAACTTTTTTTTTCAAATTTTTAAATATTTTTAATTTAATTTAATTTTTAAATATATGTCCATTTCAATATGACTTTCCGTAGGTTGTTAAATTTTTAAAGGATAGGCGACATGAAATTCTTGCGATGGTACTTTGCTGTTTTTAAAATCAACTTAACTGAATTCACTATAACAAGTTAGTTACACTCAGTTTGTCCTTTCCGTCTGAACTTAATAAATAACTAAAAGTAAATAGCACAAAACAACTTTTTATTTAGGTTCTATTATCCGTAACATAAATATTTAGCCAACGCTTTCCGCATACTATGTGTTAGAAACCCACAATTTGGTCAACACAGCATTTGTTAACCGTGTATGAATATAAATACAAGTATAAATGCTTGCGTTTGTTGAGGATTAGTATGAAATAATTAGGAGTTAGAAATAGTTAGGATAGTTTCAATATTTTAACGTAAATAAAATCAATATTAGCGTACTGGAGAATCTGTAGTATCACGGTAGAAACAAGAATACGTTTTCTTTGCACAATTTTATTCCGAAAGAAAGCCTACGAGGTTTTAACTTTTAAGGCAGTATTTAATATTAAAGTGAAAAGGATCAACTCAATAAGTAATTTGGATTTACATATCAGATCGTATGTTGATCGCCAAAGTTTCTGAGATGTGGGCTTGCAGTAGGGGTTCTCAATTTGGTTGTGTTTAAACTATACGGGATGTTTCAACCTTGCAAGTTTAATAAATGTCACTTAATATTAATTTATGAAATACATGAAATACTTATTTTATTTACCTAGACTTTTTTAGTTACATTAGGCCATTTGTGAGCTTTTTTTCACCGCCCCTTGCATTTATTTTATACACAATACGTCCCATATGGAAAATGCTCTGTTAAATAAACATTGAAAGACAATGACTAATTTCATTAGTTTTGGTTACTTTAACATAACTTTTTTCTATTTGATTTTAAATCTTATATATGTACATTTTAGTTTTGAAACAAATTAAAACTCTCTTCGTTGAACTAGTGTTAAGAATCAAGGCATTACATAAGAAAGAAAAATAAAACAAGGGTGTAAAACAAACACGATGTAGATGAAATAGTGTGGGGTGTTCCAAGTTTCGGGTCCGTCCCTAAGTTACGTTTGCAAGGAGCCGCGCTTTGTTTCACTCCGCTCGTCTTCGGATCGTGTTTGCACGCTCATTGTAAACAATAGAGAGCTTACGGGAGATCTCGCACGGACACGGAATAAGTCATCATAGTGCTGTCTGAATATTCTGTAATGTTTCATAGATATTTTCATATTCATTTCATGTATATATCGAATTGTTGTGTTTTAATGACCAAAAGGCTCATATATACAATATTTGAGTCTTTGATTTTTCATGATAAAAAATGAAGTAATTTACGATTCAATTTAAAACGCTATTTTCAATTAAAACTTTTTGCGATGATGAATTGCACTTAAGCATTCGACATTATTGTGCAATATCTAAGTAGGTAGGTAATTCAACAGAAGACGACTAAAAAAAAATATTGTAAAAGTTAGTTACACGTAGTAAGTAACAAGCAAGTTACAAGTAGCAATTAGTCATAATGAAACTTAATAAAAAGGTTTACTTTCATTCAGTTAAACTAACTTATGGAATTATTCGTGCCGACGCTTCCGTTTCCGTCGGGCGCTAAGTTACTTTTAAAGAAGCTTAAGTTTGACACTTTAGGTATTCACATTACAAGACTCATAATTATCTTACTCTCTGTAAGGTTGCTGTTGATACCAGTAAATAAATAAATAAAGCTAACCATATTTAGTTCAGCCGAGGATTTTTACCTTTAACTTACTTTTTGCAATTTCTTGAATATTGACTTTTTAAATAACTTTAATTAAAGAATATTCATATGTATGTAAGAAAAGTCAAAAAGGATAGGTAACTTATTGACTGTTTGGGAATAAATTAAAATCTGCACAGAAAGCTTAAATTCCATGGCTATTGGTATGTAAACTTGTTTTACCTTTTAGATTGTTTAATTTTTAATAAATAATAAGTTAATTTAAATGTCCTTTAAACATCGGTGTTATTGTAGCAATTTGAAATAAGGACATGATGCAAATGTCATAAAACTTGAGTGGTTATAGTTTTAAAGTTCTCTCTATAGTGTAAAGCGGTTTATTTTTTTTTTTGCTATTTATAAATTGAACCAAGTGCTTCACCAGGATTATTCTTACCTGTACCCATCTTTCGGAAAGCCGTCGCCGGCGTCCGCTGCTTCTCCCAAAATGAAGACAGCTCGAATATCTCTACGTACAGTCCATATAAAAATCACTAACACATAACTAAAATTAAAATCATAGTTTTGATCGTTAAAAATTACAAATACACGATTGTATTTTTTTATTAATTCGTATTTAGTCTATGATAAAAATAATTTACATAATAAAAAAAATATACACAGTACGCGATGAGTGACTTTTTCTCGGTGACTTCACCACACGGTGGCGGCTTTCGACAGACTGCTCTGATAATTGTGATCTTTGAAGCCGCGGAGATCGCGAGTCACATCATCCCCTGATTACATCGAGAACCACCCCCTGAGAGAGACGGCGGTATAGGCATTGAGGTAGTGCGAGGGTGACGGCTGCGAGCACATCTTGTGTCCCGGTCCACAGGCTACATTGTCAGGGCTCGCGCGGCTCCAAGCTGACCGTATTACGTGCAAACATAATGAATAGCCCAACGCATTGATACAGTATAAAACGATTGTTTAATTTTATAAAATACTGTATTTTTTTTTTACTTCATTTTACAAACTTAAGTGTATCAGGGTATACTACGGTTTTAATATATTAAATATCTATCGTATATATTTCCGGTAATGCAATATATACATACATAGTAACATTAACAAAATGTTTTTTTTTATTTAAAGTTGATTAAAAATCAAAGTATTTTGTAGGAAATTAATAACAGGGAATTACATCGGATAACAATTATTTTTATTATCCTTTCATGTCTTTAGAACTAAAAAGTTTTAGGTTTTTTGTAAAATGAATACTATGTGAAGCGTAACGTAGTAAAATTTTTAGTTTTAATAGTTAACATGAGTATTGTAAACATTAAAATGTCAAGTGAGGCCAGGGCAAAGGGGGAGCATTTATCGTGCTTGCGGCCAATCAGAGTCGCGTCCGTAGCGGGGGCGGCGCCTCGCAAGCTGGCCGCCTCGGCTACAGCGAGCTACGTCGGCGACGACCGCTACGGGGAGCTACGAAAAGTCGCCACGTGTGCCTCGACATTATATCGTAGACAGGTGTCTTTATAATTGGGGTTCCTCACACTTATGATAGAATTAAATAAATTATTTTTAATTTGCTAAATTAAAAGTAAACATTAAAATGCTCATGTTTAAAATTAGCTTAATATGATGGTATAATGGGTGAACTTAGCAATAAGATTTTGGGTAAAATAGAAATTTTCGAAATAAATTTAAATTAGTAGAAACCGTGATCATGATATTACACAATTCTGACATGCCCCTTTCTTGTTTTTTAAGTATAATAAAAAAATACTTATACTGTAATCTTTTTACATACTTAATACTTTTTAAGAAATAGTGTATTTTCTACTTGACTAGTTTCATAGGAAGTTTGTTGAAATTTTACAAGACACTTATATTTTTAGAATATAGAAATTCGTGATTAAGTGAAATTGTTAGGGATCATTAGTATTAACTTGAGTACATACATACGAGCTTGTTGGTTTAAGGGAGGCGCTCGCTACAAGGAAGCCCGCACGTGACCTGTTTGCCAGAAAAATGCACACTTTCATCCCAGTCTCTGTGTAAATATTTATTTTACAAATCTCACAATCGCACATTATAATCGCATCGGTTGCTTGAACTACAATTGTATTACTAATTTGACAAAGTAAACAGTTGCTAATACCGTACTTAAACTTTATCGCTTATTCCAGGATTTATTAAACTTACCATGTTTTTTTGGTTTTTCAAATATGCCATAGGTCAGTTTCATCGATAAGATATTTGAAAATTCCCAGAATAAAGAATTAAAAACTTTCTTACGAATTTTAAGTACGTCAAATTGTAAATTTTTGTATTTGGTATACACGATATTTGTAAATAGTAATAATAGTAGAAGTATATAATGAATTTCGGTAAAATATTTTGAATCGTGAGATATTCCCACGTATAAACCCTTTCAAATTAAAAAAATAATAAGCAAAACAACGAATGAAAAAATTTAAAATAGACTGGACAGTGTTTCTACAATTGTTAATTTTAAATAAAAACATATGCGCAGTTGACGTGTCGGAAAGGGTGACCCTTGGCGTCGCGTGAGTTGGCAAACACTTGAGTAATGTGCGCGTGCCGGCCTATTGTACGTCCGGTCCTTTATAAGCCCCATTTGAACAGACAATAAAACAATTCTTAAAGCGGTTTTAACGCAACCAACGCCTTTATTTTTGTAACATCTTTTTACAATTATGAACGATTATTTTTAAATAAACATTAAAACATTTATTCAAAGAGGGCGGAACAGATTATGGAATTCCAAAACCAACCAACCAACTAGAAACATTTCTTAATTATTCTTGTCTTTACTAATGTCATAAAAAAAAGATTTGTATTTTTGTATTTATTACAATATATCAAAAACTACTGCTATGATTTCAAATTTTTTACACCGTTGTTACTTACGAGTAATTCTTATCAGGGAGTAACATAGGTTATATTTTTTAATTGTTTTTTAATTTCACGCGGACGAAGTCTCGAGCAATAGCTAGTATTTTATATTTATTTTCGTATAAAATTCTATAGAGAGTACAGCTGTGATTTCCATACGAATTCGCTTTCACCTTTTGAATGACAACTCATTCAATATGAGACACCGCACCGCTACCCTTCGTTTATCGTCATTAGCGCTCGGTTACGCAAAGAGCTGTTTTCTACATCGATCTACGAGTAAAAGCAAAGGCAGTTTTTATTTGTTTTTCAGCTTTTATGTATACTTTAGAATAGAAAATGGTACTATATCATTTTAGAGTTATTGAATATGAGCAAAACAAAAACAACAAACTAAACAAAAACTGAGCAATGTATGTAATGTAACAAAAGTATGCCCTACTCAAACTGTTATCTATCAATGTTTTAAATTTTATCCAGTTCAGCTCAGTCGTTTTGGAGATAATTGGTAACGAACATCTATCCAAAATTTCGATTTTCTGGTAGAGATACCGCATCCATTTAATGTCAGGCACTTCCATGTCGTCAGTCGCTCTTACCGGTGCGATGATACACACCTGCAGTTGTGACAAATGAGCACTACGGGCAAAAATCGCGCCGCGCCCGCCTCTCTTGCTTGAATTAATTCGTCTTACGGTGTCTCTTAGAGCGTCATTCCTGAATCAAGCCTTATGTAATGTACAGAGTGGGCAGACATAATAAACGTATTAAATAATTATTGTCCAGTCTATACTTAAAAACGAGGAAAGCATGTTACCCTTAGTAACTAAACTAAATATGTTTCACTAAAGTTTCGGAAACTTATTAATAATAAACATTGATTAGTATAGAAGAAAGCAATAGAAAAATCACAATAGAACAATACAGTTGTATAAACGTTCTGGATATCACAAATAAAGGTTTGCGGTTTAAAATATATTATTAGAATTAGTAACAGAATCAGCTTAACAGCCAAAGAATATATTATTCATTTTTATACTTATGATTTATAATAACATTTTAAAACTGTTCCTGTCTAAAGTTTAGTAGGTCGCAGTGCTCGTAGCTGGCACTTAGTAGCCCGCGGCACTCTGATTTATGTTTGGGCGACATCGAGTCGCGACAATTTATTTCAATTAACGCTTTACCCCTGGAGGCCACGTCACAATTGAAAGAGTGTCGAATGAGCACACCTAACTAGAAATACATGTACACTTTAGATCCTGTAGTTTATAAAATTATTCAAGTTATAGTAGAGAATTTTGGTTTTTATTTATCATAGATCAACCATTCTCGAATACTCTTTCATTCTACATTAATCTTTAAATATTATAAGATCGACATTTTGTCAGATATCAATTGTTGTTTAAAATAAAAATGTTTTCCTGATTCATTTGTCCAAAAAAGACGACAACAAATACTGATTTGGTCAAATATTTTTTCCATTGCGTTAAACGGTTTGCTTTGTGAATCCCGATTATACCGTCGAATTCATTTGCTCGTTAAAAGCGTGACTATTCTCAAATCCAACGACGCTCGGCAAACAGGAGCGGCCGCTCGCGAAAAAGTCCTTTTAAAAATGTTGCGGCACGTACGGGAAGGAGGGCGTCCATTACGGCAAAGTGCCGCTTGTTGATTTAGAGATTTAGATCAAGGCGAAAATGATTTTTGTCGAACTAAATATGTTGACCTAAAAATGGTTACATAATACTTAGAGGTCAATAAGTACGAACAAGTTGGTGAAAATTATATGCAACGAATGAAATTATTTTTACATTCATTTATTTTTGGAAGGATATCGGATTTAATTTCATTATATATTCTGTCCTTGAATAAATTCAGATTAAGATGCGAGTAAATAAAAATTAAAATTGTTAATTAGTAAGTAGCTTGCAAAAATGAAGTTATCAACTGCAATGTGACTTACCGGTTTTTTATCCTGAAAGGAATTAAAAAAAATATTCGCTAATTATACACGGTGTTATGTAAGTAGATAATTTTTTTTATTTACGTAACCTTATCATGTAATGATGCATGTATTTAATAGGAAGACGTGAAGTTTTATTTTTTCAATTTAATTACCTTTGCGTACCCACATTAATTTTGTATGTCAGCCAACATGTTAGACATCAAAGTTCTGCTGTGGCTCTGTATTGTGAATATCCATGTTATTAAAGCGTCACTACCGTGCCCGAAATATCTCTGTACGTCGGAAGTGGAAAGATTACGTGACTACATCAACATAAGAACTACGAGAGATAAAGATTTAAGTAAGTATTAAATTCTTTTTACACATTTAATAGGTTAATAATATATTTATCTCTACCCGTTGTCTGAAGTTAGCGTATAAACTGGTTAACAATAATTATATTTAATACTTTATGAAATAGAAAAAAAGTATCAAGATCGTTTGTTTCCAGGTCAGGCTGTAGATTTTTTGAAGAGGTTAGGAGCAGAACAAGGTGTAGAGGTAACAGTGTTTGAGGCCAAATCCAACTATCCTATAGTGATATTGAAATGGCCGGGACAGGATCCTACATTAAAAAGTATTGTTCTTCTTTCTCATTTGGACGTCAACTCAGCTTGTTATGAGGTATTTAGTTTGTTTTATTATTTAATATCACAAATGATATTCAAGTCAACGGATCTAACTTGTAACAAGTACCTTTTAATTATTTTTTGTGTTTAACAAGCAAAAAAGAAAATTGTAAACTATTGTTTGTTATTGCTTTTATTCTTCTGAGAATTAAAAGAAATTAAAGAATCAGCAAAGATACGAAATCTAAAAGAGACCCCTTTTTAATTAGTATAGGGATTTGTAAAATAATGTATCAATAATGTTAAATTATATTTCTAGGATGGTTGGAAATATCCTCCTTTCTCTGGTGAAATCACTGATAACTGTGACATCATAGGACGAGGAACTCAAGCACAAAAATCTTTAACATTACAACATTATGAAGCTCTAAGTCGATTGAAACAAAATAATGTAACTCTACTTCGAACTGTTTATATAGTTGTAACATCAGGTTTGTTTTGAAATTAAATATAGAGAATTAGCAGATATCCTGATACGTTAATTAATGTAAAACGACTGAAAGCAGTATGGATTAATTCTGTTAAAAATGATTTGATGAGGGAAGTAATTTAGATACAAAGACAGCTGATAGAGATGCATGGAACTTAATGATGATTCATAAAAATAATGAAGACTTGTTCTAATTTCAGATCAAACAATTGGCTCTAGTTATGGTATACGGCAGTTTATTAAAACTAAAACCTTTGAAAACATGAACGTAGGCTTTGTATTAGGTGTGGGAGGTCCAAGCCCCCAACGGGTAATCTACCTGTATAATGAATTTAAAACAAAGTACGGTATGTAAATACTTATGGAATTATTAAACGATATAATCTGTCAGTTTCATCTTATATAATTATATTTCTAGTAATAATTATTGCAGTTTTGTTTTTTTAGAAGACAATGTAAGAAAGGACAATACATATTTATTAGTACAAATTTTGGATTTCTGAAGTAGACACACCGATTTTAACGTGTTTAAATTATGATCTCGCTGAGCTTTCACGTAATATAACGAACACATGGCTACATGGAATAGCGAAACAACAACTGCCCATAGACATCCATCATTGCAAATGCGTAAAATAAGAACTCTTATAATAATTACCGTTTATATTTATTTTAGAATACTTGTAGTTGATTTATGTATTTTTGTTTTGGTAAAAATCTGACTCTGTTACAGTAATACGCATTGATTGTTATGGACCGTCTTCCTCTAGTGCTCGTATACCACGTCTCAACAGTACTGCAGTAGAAGTGGTATGCCATAAAATAATAAATTTCTAGCATGAAAACTAAAATAAAGAGAATGATCTAACATTGATGCATATGATGAGGATAATATAGCCATTATAAAATACATAGAAAACAATAAAATACATCAACTAACAAAATGAGTGGCAAAGTATTCTCGACTAACGCTAGTAATTTTTTTTAGTGTGAAAATGTCTTTAGATCTTACAATCGCTACAGAGAACAGCAATACAGACTGTCGTTGAGAAGTAACAATTTTGGAGATTACACAGTGATCAATTTTGTTGGAGGACGGGTGAGTATGCAGATATTTATGTTTCATTCTAGTTTCGTTATATTTGAAAATATTATGGATGGAATGATAATTGGATGGATTGGATGGAAAAATAATTGTTCCAGAACCTCATAGAATACGATGTAGTACCAGCGCATCTTAAAGTCTACTTTGCAGCTTACTTGGCTTTTGATACCTCAGTCGAAGATTTCATTGAACTTGTAAGTTTGACTTCTTTTATATATTAACGGATCTTCCGGCTCAGAACAAGTTGACATTTTCCAAAAATGTTCCATAAAGAATAAATTTGAAATACAAATCACTCAAACTCTATGTAACATTTTAAAATTTTAACCCAACAAGCCATACTCTCAGTGAAGCTAGAATCATTTTATAAAAATGGGAATATTTTTTCTTACTAAAAACTATAAATAATACAACACAGGTACGTGGATGGGTTTCGGCTGCAGGTGGAAATATAACAGTCAGTTCAATCTACAAGGAAAAGGGTATTTATTATACTAAGACTGACGACAGTAACCCTTACTACGTCGCACTACAAAATGCTTTCGATGATCTGTGAGTAAAGTTAACACTTCTACTGCCATCATCTAGTTTATATTAACATGTAAAAATTGTACTGGCATTGAACTTGCTGGTATGTTGTACGACGAGAGGATAGGGACATAAACTAGAATGCGGATGGCTACAAAGGTAGAGAAAGACTGAAGAAAGTATGGATGGATTGTGTGAAAGAGAATATGCTTAAAAAGGTATTAAATACGACGGCTTATAGAAATAGAAGAGTGGCATATACTGTGCCGATCTTTTGTAGGGACACGGGCAAGTTGATGATTGAACTTGGTGGCATAGTACGAAAATCGACAAAATAGTCGTATCATTATCGACATTATCATTGTACTATACATCCGATAATCATAAGCTCTCTGTTTTCTTTACTGCCCGTAAGAGCCTTACGATTAAATTAGCAGGAGACATCTATAAGCATTAACTTATTGTATTCAATTATAATATTTTTTTTATAATTTTCAGAAATATATCATTTGAAGTTGTCTCTTCGGCAACTACTACGGACACGACATTTTTGGTAAACGCCGGTATACCAGCCTTTGGATTGTTCCCAGTACTAGATACACCGCTGCTTGTTAACGCGGTCAATGAACTGTTGCCAATACGCAGTTATTTAGAAGGAATAAAGATCTTAAAAGTTATAATTTCGCGTCTAGCTAACATACCTGATGAGAAAGTTGGAGATGATCCACGAGAGTACTTAATTTCATCAAAAACTCATAAGTAAACAGTGTTTATGAACTTTGGAAAATTATGTAAATTGTTTTTATTCAACAAAATAAGACGTACAATAAAAAGGTTTTAAAATGTGATGGAGTTTTGTGATTAATTCCTTATAACTTTAATTCTTTTGCTTTATGCTGCTATTAGGAAGATGTACAAACACTATAAAACCCTTGAAAACAATAATAAACATGTTATTAAAGTGAGTAAAATTAATAATGCGGTTTTGTTTGGCGTTTGTTTATCTTTTTTCCTGAAATACCAATAAGTGCTCCAAAGCTGCATTCATTACCTAAGTTTGGTACCTGATATGTTTAAAATCAAATTCAAGTTGTTTAAAATATTAGCCTGATATAACTCTTTTCTGAGATCTTTAAATTAGGCCAACTTTATTTACCAAAACAAAATCATAGTAAACAATGTTTTTTTTAAAATACAAAGATTAATTAGATATTGGATACCAGGGCCTTATAGCTTTCCTTATACTAGGGTTAATTTCAGTGGCGCCCTTTACCTTATATGTGAAAGTAATTTGTAGACATGTGAACACCCGTCCTGTTAGATGTCTTGAGTAGAGGCCAAACTGTACCCTTATAGCATTACTTTTCTTACACTTTGGCTCTCAAAATACCAATGGTCGCAAATACAGATCACTAACAAAATGGTATATTTACCCATTGTAAGCAACGAATCTTTGATTGAGAAATGGGTTTGCAATTCAAGGTCTATAGCTAAGCTTTCATTTATTTCAAACTTTATTATTCAGGACCTCTGAAAGATATGGTTAACTTACAATAAATTACATTCAGAAATACGATTGTCTAGTTTTCTTCAATTTTTTAAATTTTTTTAAACAATGCATAGAAATCATCAGCAAAAAAAAACATAGATAGTAAGGTAATTCTATTATTTTAATTCGATTGAAATTAAAATTATAATTCTGTACTAATTAGTGTGCAAGAATATTATCAACTTTAAATTACCTGTTTTTATCCTGAATTTTGTTTAAGAATTTTGCATAACATTTTATAAGATATATTATTTACCGCATTATCGTAATTATCGTTATATAATATGTGTATATAGTCAGTCGTGCGAATACATCATTCTTATTTGCGCGTTTTATTTTGGTGGAATGATGAATATAAAAATACTGTTGTGGTTCTGCTTTGTCCATGTCCACATTAGTATAGCAACACTCCCGTGCCAGGAATACATATGTACACGAGAAGTAGAAACTCTTCGGGACTACATTAGTTTTAGAACAACGAGAAAAGATGATTTCAGTAAGTGCCTACTGATCGTTTTTGCTATTAGATATTTTAAACAAAGTTTCACGTACGACTATTCTGACTAAATTAGATTTCTCATAGTAACTCGGAGTTTATCAGAATAGTTCGACTCTTCGATTTCCTACAAAAACTAAAAAATATATAGAAACCAGAATTAGTTTGTAAAAAAAGTTAAATGTCTCACTTACTAAAAATAAATATGTTTTAATTCCAGAAAAAGCAGTAGATTTTTTTAAAAGGCTAGCGGCAAGACAAGGAGTAGAAGTAACGGTATTCGAGGCTAAACCGAACTATCCTATAGTGATAATAAAATGGCCAGGACAGGATCCTACATTAAAAAGTATCGTTCTACTTTCTCATATCGACGTCAACTCAGCTTGTTATGAGGTATTGTAATTACTTGTAGTAATTAATCACCCCTAAAACAACTATAGGAAATAGTTTTTCACACATATTTTCTTCTCTATTATTTTTGATGAAAATGAAAGCGATCAAATATGTTTTCTATTACTAGTCCGGCAGTATAAACATGAGACTAGATAAAATAATAGTTACACTTTAAATTTATTTAAGTGCACTTGTGGACTTATTAAGTGGGAAGTCAAATAATTTTTTATTGATTTTTTCGTAGTCCAATATGTGTGAAAATGTTTCGTAAAAACGCAATAGTTTGTCTAAATATTAAAAAATTGTATGCCTACGCTAAGCTTAGAATAGCCTAATTCAAACTTTTGCATTTATAACATCAATAATAATTAATATGCAAAACTTAAAGCATCAACGAAAGGTCATTAAATGTACATATTATTTTAGGATGGTTGGGATTATCCTCCGTTCTCAGGAGAAATTAATGAAAATTGTGAAATTATCGGCCGTGGTACTCAAGCTCAAAAAACCCTAACAATTCAACATTATGAAGCTCTGAGGCAATTAAAACAAAACAATGTTACTTTGCTGCGAACTGTGTATATAGTTGCTACATCAGGTTTGTTCAAAAGCCATTTAAACCGGCTTATTTACACGAAACAATTACTTCGTGCTGCTGATATAGTATTTAATAGTTCGACCTGGCACATTCGTGCAGTTTAACTCAATGATGTTGGGGACTCAGCTACTATCATATGTGTTTAATATTTTCAGATCAAACTACTGGGTCTCGGGATGGTATAGAACTTTTTGTTAAAACTAAGACATTCCAAAACATGAATGTAGGCTTTACATTAGGTGTGGGAGCCCCGAGCGTGGAACCAGAGATCTTTTTGTTTAATAGATTTAAGACAAATTACGGTAAGATTTTTTTTTTCATTAATTCTCCGATGTTTTGTATAATTTTCTCAACATAAGTCTATATTTCATCTTCTAGTCCCTTACTAGCAATAAATAAAATAATTTCTTTGAAATCTGTTTTAGTGATACGTTTAGATTGCTACGGGCAGTCTGCTTCAAGTGCTATATTGCCAAGTTATAACGACACGGCTGCAAGTTCCGTATGTATTGTTTGCTTTTGATTATTTGAACCGTGATTTACATTGTCGAAACACTAATGAAAAATCTATTATTCTCCTTGAGATAAAATTAACTTCAGAAGTTTTGTAAATATTTTAGCAGTAGAAACAAACATCATGTTGATATTTAAAATATTTTTTAGTGTGGCTATGTTTTGCAAGCTTACAATCGCTACAGAGAGGAGCAATATAGACTGTCATTAAGAACTAGAGATGCTGGGGATTATACGGTGATTAATTTCCTTGGAGGTCGAGTGAGTGTGTTGTTTTTTTATTCTATTGACATGATATGATGATGACTCACTATTCACGTGTGGCAAAATCAAAAACATACATGAGTCCTTTGGCGTGCTCTATTTATTAAATACAATAATTTATTGTCTAGATAATTAATTAGCAATAATCTTTTCAGAACATTATAGAATACGACGTGATACCAGCGCACTTCGCGGCCTACTACGCTGCCAACTTGGCACTTAATACCACTGTTGAAGATTTTATTGAATTAGTAAGATTTGATTTTTTTTATTTACGTTTAGACAGGAAAATGTTTTTTTAAATTGTTGATCGTTACGCGATGTACGTTAAAATCTGCATAGATATTTGTATGACACCCCTCTAACTCATAAGAATAGGTAGAGAATACAGATTTTAGTTTAGGGCCTAGAATCCTTTGGATATTCTGTAGAACTAAAGGTACGATTTAATTAAATTTATATAAATTAAGATGATTATTTCGGATGTTTATACTCATCTTCATCCGTATTTGACATTATTATTTTTAATGATATTAAAAACGGATTTTTTATATAACAGGTACGCGGATGGATTTTGGCCGCTGGTGGAAATATAACGGTTAGTTCAATCTATAAAGAAGAAGGCGGTAATTATTTCAGTAAGACAGACGACAGTAACCCGTACTACGTGGCAATAGAACAGGCTTTTGAGGAATTGTGAGTATGATAACAATAGTATGTAGTGGGACTTGGCCATTATCGCACAAGTCTAGGATAATGTTCAAGGCGGCCGATATTTGTTTTAGAAATGATTTGTAGTTAACCTAAGGCCAGACAGGTAGCACAGAGAATTTAACTCTCTGGCGCCCCCTTACCTCTTTGTCATGATGGACTGCTTACCAACACTAGTAAAATTTTTGACCTTATAGTATATTAATTTCTATTAGACTCTCTAACCAGTACCCTGTGATAACATGCTGTGTAAAGCGTCTGGTGAAAGATCAAATTGGTAAAATTGTGGCAGTTACCAATCGCTTAAGGCAAAAGTTGATCAGATGCTGTAACTATTTCAATTATAGTAACCCCTATAGAATACTTGTCATATTTTAATAGAATTAATTATTTTGTTTTCAGGAACATTCCATTTCAATTATTAACGACGCCTTCCACAACGGACACGACGTTTGTTGTCAAAGCTGGTATTCCTGCCTTCGGATTGACTCCGATACGAAACACGCAGGTTTTAGTCAACGGAGTCAATGAAAGATTGCCTTTGAGGATATATTTAGAAGGGTTACGTATTTTGAAAGAGATCATATCGCGACTTGCTAATATACCCGATGACAAAGTTACGGATGACCCGACCGATTACTTAGAGAAATGTAATAAGTAAACCTATTAACTATTTTTATTGAGTGAACAAAACACATTGTGAAAATAATCATAAGAAATAAATGTACTATAAATGTTTGATGTTGTTTCTTGTGTTTGTTGTTTATTTTTAAAATTCAATTATTTGTTGATAAAAAAAAAACAAACATTAAAGTTATCAATCATTAAATATTAAAATTGTGAAGTACCTTATATGATAAGTGAAATAAAATTATTTGATCTGGATTTCACTGTAATTCAGTTCTGACAGGTGACTGTCCATAATTCTGTTATTGTCGAATTAAATATATAATTTTAATACGAGTACATAAAAATGATATCCACTAACGGATTCCACAATTTTCTTACGAAGTGAAATGGTGAAAGACAAGGATGCCAATTCATGTTCCTATGTGTGCCTTCATTTATTCGAAACACGATTCCTTTATTCTTGAAATATAAAAAGCGCTTTGTAACACAGAGTACATGCACAGATATAGACTAGAAGCCAGGATTCTCTATCAGGAGATCGCTCTAAAGTATGGTCTCCTGGATATTCGGCTGCCTTAATAAAAAATTGTTTTAATGTGCTTTAGAAATGTGTCATTTATTAAAAAGTTCGAGTACTTTCTTTTATAAATATTTACTGTAAGATTATGATGCTAGTAAGCCAGAATGTTCATCTGGTGCCCAGCCCAACGTTTTTTCTCTTTTTTTTCGATATATTAAGAGGAATGACAACGTGTTTTTGTAAAGATTTCATCGTAATCATCAACATCAACCGGCCCTTGATCGTATTGACGATCAGCACAGTATGTACCTCTTCCATACCATCAGTGGCGGCATATAAGAATTTACTCTGTTCTCAGACACATTCTCTTTCATACAATACACCCATACTTTATTAGGTCTCTTTTTACCTTTGTAGTTAAAATCACTACTTTCTTATTTGTGTGATCATCATCTCTACATGTACTTAGACATTTCTGCAATGAATATTTACGATCGATAAGATGAACAAATATGTTAAAAGTATATTTCATTTTACTTACACATGCAGCCAATGAATACCATACATATTTTAATTATTTTATCTTCGCATACTTTACATCGATAACTGGAGTTATATTAATATATAAAATTTGAGCTGATTGTAACTTCCTTTGGTATAATTAGCCAATTATATTTTTCCTTTTTAACCCTTCTTATCAGTACTGCAAGGTTGGTAATTAATACAAGGTTAAATATATAAATGAACCTGCCAAGTACATTTTGATTTACATTTGAAAAATGAAAACCGTTTAACTGCAGCTTTACCTTTAAATATATGTGCTGTTTAAAATTGAAAATATCAATCAAATTAAATTTCCAAAAGAAAGTTTGATATTAAAATTAAATATTCGGCATAATGAAAATTCAGATTTTTAAAATCAAAACTATTTATGCTGTGTTGATACTTCTTTGGATTGTACTTGGTAATGTGGAAGGTAGACGTAATGTGTTGAAATATAAGGAATGTGATTGCAACCCCGACGTGCACTTACTTCAGGATTATATCAGTATTAATACCTCACCGGGGAGAGATTTAAGTAAGTATCGTTAATCACCATTGGATAACTAAAGACCATTGTTATAGAATTACAAGTTAAGGTAGGTAGATTCACGGATTGTCAGCAAACTATCAAAACAAAGAAAGTATAGTCTTTACTGATATAAATAAAAAGCATAGTGTATGTTGTACATTAATAAGACTCGGAAGTATTTTTAGTTAATTACTTAGAAATGTATAAATGAAGTGTTTGTGTGATTAAAAATAGGTTAAAGAGAAGATTTTATTAACTGTCTTTGCAGGACCGGCCGTTGACTTTTTAAAAAGATTAGGAGAAACACAGAATATTGAAGTCACTGTATACGAGGCTAAACCTAACTACCCTGTGGTCGTATTCAAATGGCCGGGACGGGACCCCAATAGACGTAGCATTCTACTTCTTTCACATATGGACGTGGTTCCTGCTTGTTATGAGGTATGTCTTTTATACGTCATAGAATACATCGCAGATTATTATTACATCATGATCATCATCAACCGATAAGAGTCGTCAGTCTCTACAGTTCGCATTAAACATTTTTAATAGTAAATAAATCAGTGTTTTACCACAATCCCACCGAAAGGCCAAATCCACTAGTTAATAAGTACTTCAACTTGCCCACGAAGGCAGCCACGTTATAACCCATATCCTAGTTTCACTTGTTCCTTTTGACTTTTAAGGAAAAAAAAACATTTTATAAAATTATGAAACGTAAGATTTCAAACGTTTCTTTTTGCTATTTCGTAATTAATTTTTAGGATGGTTGGACTTATGATCCGTTCTCAGGTGAAATAAATGACGAATGTGAAATTGTCGGGCGCGGTACACAAGATATGAAATCTTTCACAATTCAATACTTCCTGGCTCTTAAAAACCTTAAAGAAAATAACGTTACATTGCTTAGAAATGTCTATATGGTTGTCACACCAGGTCAGTAAAGAATTCGAGATGATAAGTCAATGATAACTTTGTTACTTATTTAATACGTGTACTTTTTGATCTTTTAAATGTTTCAGACGGAGCAGCTGGATCAGAGAATGGTATAGCACTATTTGTAAAATCTAAAGCATATAAAGACTTGAATGTGGGATTTGTTTTAGACAGAAGTATTCCAAATCCAAACAACCAAATATTTATTTTAAATAGCGACAAAACTACAATCGGTAAGTTGGTTTTATCTTTTTTAAATAACCAGATATTTTAGTATTTATTGTAATGTAACATTTAGTAAGGTTATATACTAAATAAGGTAATATACTAAAGCACTGTGTATCAGATTGAATAATACAAGTATCAAATGATGCTTGATATCTTACTAATAATATAAATAAGAAAGTTTAGATGGATGGATGTTTGTTAGAGTTTGTAGCCTAAACTACTGAATGGATCTCGTTGAAATTTGGTATTGATGTAGAGGGTAGTCTGGAAGAATACATAGGCTGCTTTTTTTGTTTTTTTTTTTAATACCATCCGAACGGAGTCGCAAGGATAGCTCGTATGTTTATATTAAGTTCTTGTTTACTTATTCTGTTCCAGTGTTCCGCATTGATTGCTACAACCCGTCAACATCTAGTGCATTTTTGGTTAATATTAATGTAACCGCATATGGAACGGTACTTCAACTTTCTCTATCAATCTATTTTATCTGATTCTATTTAACAATCAAGATTAGTAACATAGCTTTTATTAATTTATTTTTAGTGTTCAAAATTCTTTAAATCTTATGAAGAATACAGAGAGGAGCAATACAAGATATTACTAAAAACTGGAAATCCTGGTGCTTTTACTGCGATTAATTTTGTAGGCGATCGAGTGAGTATGATAGAGTATTCTGTATAGTCCATCCTCTTTTCTTCACTACTAAGTACTTTGTGCGTATTTGTGACTATGTCTACGTGTGTTCCGTAATTGCGTGTTCACGCAATTTTTGTCATTTTCCTTTTTTTTTTGTGGTAAAATATACCTTTTTTCAGACTCTTCTAACATACAGCACGATACCCGCGCATGTGGCTGCATTCTACACCGTCTATTTGGCACAAAACACCTCAGTCGCTAATTTTAACAAAATTGTAAGAGTAATTTTTAATTATTGTATATTTTTTACTTTAAACGCTACAGGTTTTATTATATTTGAGTATTTTTTTTTCTGTTCAGATACGTAGCTGGGCTTATGAAGCGGGAAGAAATGTTACGGTTAGCGTCGTTTATGAAAAAAATAGAGTTTATGCTACAAAAGCCGATCGTAGTAATCCTTATTGGGTGGCTATTAGTGAAACGTTTAATGATCTGTAAGTATTAAAACGGGTTACTCAATTGCCTTCTTAATAGGTTGCTGATTTTGAGCAATGTCATTCGATTGAATTCCCATTCGCAGTATGATAGTATATAGGTAAAGGAAGCCAGCGTAGTTTTAAGTATTATATATTTTTTTTATTTTTCAGAAATATACCCATAAATCAAACGTCAGGCTACACTACAACTGACATAACGTTCGTCATAGAAACTGGTGTGCCCGGATTTGGTATAACACCTCAACGGAATACACCAATTCTAGTGAACGGAATTAACGAAAGGTTATCGATACCTATCTTCTTCGAAGGAATCAAGATTTACGAAAGAATTTTACGTCGTATTGCGAATTTACGTGATGACCAGGTCAATGATGATCCCACAGTGTATTTGATAAAACCTCGTATTATTTGAAATATAATTATTGGTATTTGAAATAGCAATAATTTCGCTGTAAAAAGAATAGATTGCATGTCAAGTAGTACATTTAAAACTTCTCATTCGTTTTACGATATCACATATTGCGATTCAACTGATATCAAATATTGTAATTACATCTTGAGTTACATTTGTCTTATAACACCATGTCATAATCATTTGATCACAGCTCACGCATCCAAAAACCTTAGCACGATCATTGACAAACATGTCCAATAAATTTTCACTTGTATGTTTTGTGTATGGTCAATTTGAAGATTATTTTGTCCTTATCAATTATATCCATAATATAATTTGCATTGTTATTTAGTAAGAAATAAATCTGCTTTATTTCATTTAGTAAAAGACATTATTTATTTTACATACGATTTTTTTTATGTTATATATCAAAAGTGTTTCAATGGTTATCAAGAATTTCTACTTTAGCCTTAATAACCCAACCGGATGTCGTTGTCTACTATTTCGATGGAGAATAATAATAAATGTTAATCCACTACATTAATTACTTTAATAACATGTATACAGGTTGGAGTGTTTTCTTTGAATAACGTTTATTTTCAATATCTCGACTATTTTCCCTAGAAGGGTAGGCAAAGAATTCCATCCTGTATATGAATTTTATCATACTGTTTAGTGGATTAATATAATACTTCTTTGCAATTACACTTAAAATACTAATTAGGTGATAATAATAACTCAATAAAAATTAACTCAAACGTGACATACTTCGTGCCTGATGTGTATAGTTTTCACCAGCAAGGACGTGCGGTGGTAAGTATTATGTTAGTTTTGGATTATCTTAATATTTAACAATATTATAAATACACATGTTTTAATGAATAGATGTGTGTTTAAGTTTGTAGCCTAAACTTGCAAACGAATCACGATGAAATTTAGCATAGATGTGCTTAGTATGGAAGAACACAGGCCTTTGTTATTTATTAATTCCACGAGGAAGTCGCGAGCGGAAACTATTCATTTTCATAAAAATATGAAATACTCAATCGCAAACAGCGTATTAAACTCATATTATTATATTTTACAGGTATACGATTGGAAAACATATTAGTTAGTATTGATTTTATAATGCAATGCATAACGTTAATTATTGGTTTGTTTGCTGCAAATATCATCAGCACTGCTACAAGTAACATTCAGTCTTGCCAATGTAGCCCTGAAGTGGACAAATTCCGAGAGTATATTACTATAGATACTACGCCTGGACAAAACCTAAGTTAGTATGCAATTTTATTTAGTCAACATACAATACTTATATTAAAATATGTAAATATCAAAGTCACATTAGCAGGTATTTTTTGTATTAAAATGGCAAATGAGCAAGCGGCTATAGATATTTGCAATTGCAGATGCTTTACATCCGCGTTCTACTTGCGTTAAGGGACGCTCAAAAGGAGGATATTTCCTCATCTCCCTTTCCTATAAAATCTTTATAAGAATGTAGAGAAGTGGACTTCAATTAGACATAGGTCATACAGGCTTCAAACGAAACACAGATTTACTTCAACTTCTCACCTATCTTCTTTGTGGTGGTAGTATTTCACTGATCGAACCAGCCTATTGTTATTGCTCTACCATATTTAAATATTTCATTTTAGGTCCAGCTGTTGATTTTTGGAGGCGATTAGCAGAAGAACAAGGCATTGAAATAAAAGTATACGAATGTGTACCTGGTTATCCTTTGATTGTACTGAAATGGCCTGGCAGCGACCCTTCTCTATCCAGCATCCTTCTTCTTTCTCATATGGACGTAGAACCGGCTAATTATAAGGTATATGGATTTTAAACCCGATCCTATTTGTGCTGAAGTATTCATAAGTAGCGCCACCTAGAATTAGCTTGGTAAATCCATAGAACTGTGTCCCTACATAGATTTGTATTTTTGGATTTTTGTATGCAGTAAACTCGAAAACTACTGGAACGATTTCAAAATTCTTACACTATTAAAAAGCTATGTTAACACTGAGTAACATGGACATATTTTTCTATTTTTTATTTCACGCAGGTGAAGTCGCGAGCAACAGTTAGTATAAAATAAAAAAATTCAGCTATTGATTATGTTTGTGTAATTATTCTTTCGTAATACTTGCAGGACGGCTGGGACTTTCCCCCATTCTCGGCACATGTTAACGATGAGTGTGAAGTTGTCGGTCGCGGCACACTAAATATGAAATCAATTGCAATCCAATACTATGAAGCTATGAATCGAATACAGCAAAATACAACATTGCTTAGAGACGTTTATATGATTATTACACCAGGTACTTATGTCACTTAACTTTTTAATTATTTTTTTCTTTTTGGTCTTAAACGAAATCTTAATAATAACAATTTTCGTGTCGGTAATGTTTTTTCTCACCTGCATAATGTTTTACAAGCGTTATAGCAAATTCTATGGAATTAAATTTGTATTAAACATGAAGTCTAGAGATAGGTCTAGACTTTTTTCGAAATAATTTAGAATTTAAAGTCTTCTCTAATCTATTTTACATGAATATCAATATATATAATAAAAATCATTTTAATTCCAGACAAAATTTCGGGATCTTTAAACGGAATTGCCTTGTTCGCTAAAACCGAAGAATTCAAAGCAATTAATGTCGGTGTTGCTCTGGACGTTGGCATCCCAACTCCAACTTCAGAAATTCAGATTGTCAATCAAGATAAAACTCAATGCAGTAAGTATTTGGGTTTATTTCTATTCGTAATACGAGAATATCGCCTTATCTTCGCTGTCTCTATCAAAAACAGAGATAGCGAAGGGTAATATAAACATCGCTATACTAAATATACACGATTTCGGTGTCATTGAAGTTCTGAGACTACTCGGAATATCCCATCAGACTTGGCTAAAAACAATTTGGGTATTAAAAGGACTTTGTATTTTACTGGAAATGTATTTTTCCTGATAACATAATAACCTTTTGCACTTTGTTTCAGTAATACAACTGGATTGCTACGGGGAACCCATACATAGTGCGTTTCTACCAGATGTTAAGACCACAGCGGCTGACCCGGTATGAGTAGTACTTGTTTCGTTAAAAATGTTATCATCTTCTTTAATATGGTTGTCACTTAATAAATATAAGAAATTCGAATGTATCGATGGATGTAAACATGTTTGTTATCAGGTTACATCAAAATCTATTAACAGAACTAGGTACGATTGAAACTTCTGAGTACTACATGGAATAGTTTTCAACCTGGGCTAATTTTGACTCATAGGAATGGACGTTCAACGTGTGATTGACATTTTTTCTTATTTCATATAAATATTTATTTACGTTTACGACGCTACGAAATTATCTTACTAATTACTTTAATATAGAGTTTGAAAATTATTTCATAATTTATAAATTTTCCAGTGCGGACGTTTCTTCGTAGGTTTCACTCAGTTCAGGGAGGAACAATACAGATTGTCACTGGAGAGCGAGGACTCTAGTGAATATACAGCAGCAAATCTCATCGGTGTTAAAGTAACCATGCATTTTATCAATTTTATTTCTAAAGTTAATAAACAAAATAATAATCATATGTCTTCAGACTAAAACAATTGTTTAAGGAACCAACACTGACTTAATTACTTATATCTTTATCAATATTTCAGGGAGTAACTCCATACCGAATAGTGCCTTCGCATTTTAGATATTTTTACGTAGCATATTTGGCGCACAACACTTCTATTGCTGATTTTAATAGAACGGTGAGATTACTTTTCATTTAGTTTACAACACATATTAAGTGACTTACAGCGTGTGTTATAAATTATTTGATATACAATGTTACGCAGGTCCGAGGATGGGTTCCAGAAGGCGAAAATGTTAAAATAAGTGTATACTACGAAGCTACGAGAAGCGCTACAACTAAGGCAGACAATACTAACCCTTACTGGGTGGCTATTGAAGAAGCATTCAAAGAACTGTAAGTATGTACAACAAAAACGAAGGTCAAACTGCGGCTTAAGCACGTCATTCGTGCGAATGCGAAAACTTAGATGAATGGATGGATGTTTGTTAAAATTTACCGTCCGTTAAATTTGGCATAGATGTAGTGCATAGTCTGAAAGAACATATAGACTACTTGCTTTTTTTTTAAAGTCCATACGGCCGGAATCGCCGACAAAAGCTAGTGTATTTATTTAAAAAAATGTATCGACTACATTTGCGATCGTACTATATTAAATATTTTTAAGTCAAGTCTAGTAATTTTATGTAGTGCATTATAATAATCGGTTTTAAATTTTACAGAAACATTACTGTGCGTCCGTCTACAATACCCACAACAACGGATGCTAAATTCATTGTAGAAGCTTCAATACCTACATTCGGTATATCTCCGCAGCGCTTCACGGTGCCTTTGATTGGTGGAGTTAACGAACGTCTCTCGATAACTGTCTTCAATGAAGGTATCAGGATTTACCAGAAGATCATTCCGCATCTCGCTAATTTACCAAAAGATAAAATTGCTGAGGACCCTGGGACTTATTTGATTCAACCTACTATCATATAAAATGGATAAATGTCTAAAGAGTTTCTAGTTTAGTAACTTATTTTATAACTGTCCCTTTTAATACTTTAAAACAGTGTGTTATTTTATAGCTCTTGTGACAATTGTTTATAGTTAGCTTATTCTACGCACAATTTATTTTTAAATTAATTATTTTTTTTAATTGCTATATTTGTAAAATTTAAATATTAAAAAAATGTTAATCTTACACGAATTGTTAAAATGTAAATTTGCTCTGTACTGATTAAACTTTGATTTTCACCATTATTTTGTTTTTCTCTGTTATCAGCTATTTTTTTGACTCCTATCATTATATTGGTTTTATATCAGATGACTTTGACTTTACACTTTAACTCGAACTAGCCGTTCCCGTGCGGCTTCATCCGCATGAAATTATGAAAATTTTATATTATTATTTACGTTTGTCAAATTATTAATAGCAAATGTCAAAATGACATGACATGATAAACCTTGACAATCTTGCTTCCTTGATGTTGGCAGCAACTTAAGGTCTCTTTCCCACATTAGGGTTTTTATCCAAAATATTTACCACCTAAGTTTAATGGCATGAAAATATATAGCCTAAATCGTAAGTGTAGGACGAACTAAACTAACTAAAAGGATAACTGTATAGATATAGATAAGTAGACAACAGATTAATTGTGCTGGATACAGTGGCATAAAAAGTTCCAATTCATTTTCATGAACCGTTCAACATTTATCTGTGAAGCGAAAAGAAAACAATAAAGGATATTATAAATATTTATTAATTAATATTCTTATTGAAACACAATCAAGCTTCATTTTATTAAATCAATACTTTATTCAAACTTATCATCAAAACAAAAACATCAGTTACTTTTTGGCGTCAGATAACCGCTGGGATCGTTGGATACTTTGTCTGGAGATAAATTGAATAATTGTTTAAAAATCTCCTCGAAGATTGTGATTCCGTCCAAGAACGTATGTATATTGAGTCGTTCGTTGACAGCGTGGACGAGATTCTCAGTGCCTGTTATAGGAGACAGGCCGAAGACAGGATAGCCTGCAGCCGCCACGTACGCTGCCTCTTCAGGTTGAGAGGCGGTGCGGGGGCAGAATGCTATATCCCTGAAAATAAGTGCAATAAAGGAGATCAGATTTTTAAATCATTGGAGATCTCAAGATTTGAGATTACTACAAGACATATGCGACTATGCGAAGGTTAAGACAAGCCCTAAGGAATCTTGTGATAAGAAGAGTAAGCCTAACTAACATTCCTTTATTTAAAACCTACATAAGAGCCTATAATTGCTCTATTGTTGTCGTTAGTTCAAAGTAAACTAGATCGAGATAATGCTTGTTGATTCACGGTACAGATGCATTTTAGTAATAAAGTAATAGAATCACTGCTTTTTCTTTATATCTAGGTGTCAAAATGCTTACAAGTTTGTGGAAGCCACTTGCAAAGAGTCGTAGTAAGGATTGTCATCGTCCACCACAGACTCGGGGCCGGCTTCCTGACGCAGTAATGTCCTTAGCTTGGCATTAGGCCCTGCCTCTTTAAGCCACTCGTAAACCTGCCAACAACAGTTCATTATTGCCCATATCTCATCAATTATACTTTAATATTATATTTATCTTATAATGCCGTTTCTTAGACAACTAAAATTCATTGAATATTTTACTTACGATTTTTTCAAACTGTGCGAAGCTCGTATTAACCGCCAGAAATGAGTCGTAATACAAATTAATGGTAGAAGGTATTACACCCAGTAGAGTATTAACCTGTCAAAATACAGGCAGTTGACAAAAAAGTTATTAAATTCTAACCCAAGTTTACATAACCTTTAAAAAATTGCACTAGCATTATTTTTCAAGTCTTACTTTTGGTCCCACGAAATTAATAACAGTGATGTTGTCCATGTCGCAAAATTTAAGTTTTTGAGCCGCTTCGTACTGTTGATTTCTGTACTTTGTGTAAGACATGTAGAAGCGCCCACACTGAAATATAATTAAAGATCGCCATAAGAATTATACTCTTCGGCATTGTGCGGGAAAATATGGACCTAATTTCTTTGTACAGAAAGCTGTGTAATGTAGAGTAAACAGCTATTTATTAAGCTAGCTCGTAACAATTTTGGACTGCATAATCACTTTCTTCATGTGGCATCGTGATCAAGCGTTAGTTTAACAAACAAAAAAAATATGTAAAGGCAATTGCAACGCCTCTGACCAGGATTTCTATATTATTGGTTGGTATATAGACAACAATATAATAAATTGCTAAATATCGTGCAAGCTTATTGTACTGCTGTGTAATTGCTATTACTGCTTCTTCTATTACATTTACAACAAAACTCTTGTCTTTTTTCACTCAGCATCTTAATATTAACTAAAAGAGCAAGCCACTAACTGTAATAAATTGTTATTATACATTATTTACCGTTCCATCTGCTGAAACAGCTGGATCTATTAACAAAGTGCTGTCACCGCTTGGTCCGGTACATTTCACTTCGAATGCTGGAACAAGAATGTCACCTGATTATTCTAACATAAGTGTTCTCAAGAGTACAAACTGCAGATTTAACGACGTTATCTTACCAATCGTGTTGTAATGACATGGTAAAACAAATGAATAACGTTGTGTTAAGAAACCTTTAGGACAGCGCAGTTCCGATTTTAAAATATCAAGGAAAACAGAGAAAGACAGAATACAAGTATTGAAACATCCCACAGAGAAAATAATCATCTAATATTAAGCAGCCATGTTGATATCAAAAAGAAAATGTTGTTGTATAAATTCCTATTCAAATTTTTATACATGCATAAAAAACAGCAGACGAATTTTATTTTTTGAATTACTGATTATTGTAAAACTTTATTAAAATTCCATTCGATAGCGAATTGGTGATATTTAAATTATTCTAATTGATAATATTATTATTACTTAACATTTTATTTTAAATGAAAACATGAAGAGCTATAGAAAAATTAGAAGGCGTTACGGTTTCAAATTTTTTAAAAATAGCATTTAAAATATAGTTAAACAAAAATCACTTGATACATTTATCTGTAATATGAGGTTGTTAATTTGCTTCTTCTATCTAAGGTTGAAAGTCTGTTAAGCATTCAGAATTTAGATCTAGTTTAGAGATTAGAAAAGAAAAAGTACTACTCACACCATCGTGTCTTGCCACGGTATAATAAAGCGATGTTTTCATTGGATGAAGGTACTCCAATAGTAAGGAAATATCCAACTCTAAACTCTTTGAACGTTTTGCTTTTTAAAAATAGCGCAATACCATTTCTCGATCCTGTTTCCTTATCTGTTGAGCGAAATATTTTTATACATGAGTAAAATGTAAATTGAGTAGTAATGAAACGGATGGAATAAGGCATTGGAAGAAATTTATGATTCGTGTAATGCAAAGTGTGGTAAATTACGTTTAGGAGACAACTTTTTTATGTATTCACAGTTAGGTTAGGTCACAGTTAGGGTCATACATTTCCTACCCTTTTTGGCATGTCATTTAATGTTCACAATCCAATTTGATAGAATATTTGGCATAGTAACATACATATAACACTTTATAAGTTACACCTTTTACTTTGCTGTTCACATTTGAACCCTAGCAGGAACCAAATTTGTTTCTTTAACTATACCTGGCGTAAGAATCATGTAGACATCCCTAAGAGCAGCGGATTGCTTTCTCATTCGCATAAGAGCCTCGTACTGTTGCATCGAGACGGACTTCTCTTGCGTGCCGCGCCCGTAAATATCACCGTTGTCGTCTATATGCGCAGAAAATGGCGGGTATGTCCACCCTTCCTGTAATTATAACATCAAATGTAAAAAAAAAATTTCGTCCTTTTCCTATTCCCGTAGGGTACATAGGTAAAACTGATAAAGTTAATAATATAATGAGTTAAATACCCTCATGTCTGCTGGCACGACATCCATATGCGTGACTAGCGCCATGCTAGGCAGCGAGGAATTCTTTCCTGGCCATTTCAGAATCACCACAGGATAACCTTCTATTGCCTCATAAGTAGAGAACTTTGCTCGGGCAATTAATGCATGTCTTCTCCAGAAGTTAACAGCTGGTGCTAAATAACATAAATGTAATGTAGATAATGTGATACAGGTAAACCTTTATTGGACTATCTTGTATAATAGAAAGATAATGAAGACGCCTATTGCCATTAATACAAAATAAATCGTTGATTGATTTGTCGAACGGCTTTCATAAAATCACATTGTCCCTCTTAAACATTAACTAAACTAGAACACAAGAGTATGGTCGCGCTTTGATTCGTCGAGCTTATATGGAGGTATACACACTACTCGGTTTTTAGTTGTGCAACAAACAGTGGAATTGGTTGTGAAACAATCTACAATCGCACACCAGTTTTGCGATAATTGTCAAAGGTGTGCGCCCGCTCTTAATCTCTTCAAAATCACAGAAACAACAAAAGCCATTGCAAGTATGTTAACATTGTCCATATTGGAGCGTGTCATATATTTTTGTTGCCCGCTTATACTAGTTGTAAAGGAAAAGTGATTTTTTAAAAACTTACTAAGATCTTTTCCTGTAACCGTGTCTATCTGTATGTACTGCTGGAATCGCCGCACCTCTGGTATTCTAGACAATTGCTCAATAGTCAAACTATCACCTACAATCACTAACGACGCAACGTACATCAAAATAGAGAACATTCTTGAAATTTTGGAAATATGTAAATAATTAAATACATTGGTATTTATACTGTAAGCAGAATATATTAAGGTAATTAATAGTAAGCACGCGGAAAGGTAGTCTAAGGTAATAACGATAAGAGTTCTTTACTTAACCTAATTACAATATGTTTGATATTTCAATATTAGGGTTCCGTTTAAAAACGAACGATAGACCTTACATTTTAGTGTTTAAATTATTATTGTCAATTAGCTATTAAAATTAGGGGGGAAAAAAGTAAATATTATATGTGCGAAAGTTTAGATGGTTGGATGGATGGATGTGTGTTAGAGTTTGTAGCCTAAACGGCTGAACGGATTTCGATGAAATTTGTTATAGATGTAAACGATAATCTGGACGAACACATAGGCTACTCAGTTTGGTTCACTATTTTTCCCACGCTGGCGGAGTCGCGGGCGAAAGCTAGTATTATATATTATTTAGTAATCACATTATGGATATCGAATAAAAGTATTATACGTTAGTGAAGCAGAACCCTGAATAATTTTCAATTTATATCTAAACAACTAGATGTGTTTTATAGACTTGTAAAAAAATATCTCCATATGTCTGTTGTTGTAAAGGTCTCTTCAAACCTTATTTGAAAACCAATGAACGGTCGTGATCATTTTATCTTAATACTTAAGAAGAGTTAAGATACATGGTCACTCTTAACACCTCGTTACAGGTGTAAAAGCAACTTATTTTTATATTAGATATTTTGTATTGATAGGGTTCCCTAAAAATATTTCATATTCCTTCTATTACCTTTGTTCGCTAACAACTTTTATATTTAGACAGAGAACCATTCCATTATTATTATGTATGTCTATTACTACTTAGAACAATTTTATTGAATTATCATTGTACTTTACATTTTTAACCTCAAATGAAAATAAATAAACGATTACATAATCGGAAACCAACTTACATAGAGAAGAAATGCTTTTGTATTATTGACAAACATCATTCATACATACACATATGTAAATTACGACATACTTTATGATATCAACACTAATTTTTCATTATTTATTTACCAACTTACTGACAGATAAGGTACACTCAGAATATAAACGGCAATACGAGTACGAGTTTTCTACTTTAGTTTTCATAGTCATCATAACAAGTATAAAGGTTTAACGGTCGGATATTGAAACGAATTTTATGCTTCGCGTCGTAGGCGCCGCTTAATTTGAGGTCGAAATTTTAATGCAGTTCGTAGTTAAGTGTAGCCATATTTAAATGTCGTTTCAATACTCTGCCGTAAGGAATGTCATTAAATTCAAAAGATAAACACATTAATGATTGTTTGGTTTATATTTACATCATATTAAAGTAGGTTCTGTTAAATACATTTTAGGATCATCAGCAACCTTATCGTCAGGTACATTTGCGAGTCTTTCTATGACTTTCTCGTAGATACAAATACCATCTAGGAAAACGGGAATAGACAAGCGTTCGTTGACCGCGTGCACTAAAATCGGTGTGTTACGTATCGGTAATAAACCGAAAGTGGGAATACCAGCACTTGATAATATTCTCCTATCTGATACTGACGGAGCTGTTTTAGATGTTACTGTAATATCTCTGAAAAATAAATTAAAAGTTACTATGAATCTAAGTTATGGGTTGTATAACTGTTGCAGGGCCTCAGATAGACCAGATTAAATCTCAGATTTGACGGTGGAGACGTATAGGAAGGGAAAATATCCTCTTTATATGCGTCTCCTCCTCCGTCGATTTAGGGTAGGCAACGCATTTGTAATTGAGGATGTCTATGGGCAGCGGTCGCTTTGCCATTGTCGCGGATTTAACTAGGTGACCGCTTGCTCGTTTGCCTTTTGTATAAAATAACTTCAGATAGACTTACAATTCATCAAAAGTATCTTTTAATGCTACCCAGTAAGGATTACTTTCATTAGCGATAGTTATTGAAGATCTTTCATATGTGAAAAGTCGAATGATTTCAACGGCGTCTGATTTCCATCCATTTTCCTAGAATAGAAAATAGTACAATTAAAAAGATAATTACTGTCTATAGTATAGTCGTAATTTAGATATTGACTTATTAATAGTAAGAAACATTACTTACAATTTCGTGAAACTGTTCCAAAGACGTATCATGAGCTAAGTTCACGCTAATGAAAATTGTTAAACTTGCGGGTATTTTGCGGAAAGGTATGTTATCCTGTAAGAAATAAGAAACTCTTTAGGTATCATTTATAATCACACACCTTACATTGTGATGTAATTTGTTAGAGGTGTTGTTTTTTAAAAAAGTTACCATGTAATTTATAACGAAGAAACCATTAGTGTCATTCCTCGTACCATGATTTTAATGCGTGGACCTGTTATGGACCTATGGACATGTTAACTAGTTTTAGGGCCTGCCTCATTTGCCAACTGTATCAGCGAATGGTTTGACTGACCCTTAGAAATTAAAATACTTACTGCATTAACACCTAAATGACCGACATAGTTGATTGCAGTATACTCAGAGTAATCGTTACTTTCCAATGATTTTGTGTACTGCTCTTCTCTGTAGTTAACGTAAGCGTTGTAGAATGCGATACACTGGAAAATGTAAATAACTAAAGGTTGCTATCACAAAAAAATAAAACTATCTCAATTTTGTCAAACATGATGATAAGGATGGTGCTATGCTGTACAAATGTTTGGGCCATGGAATCACACTTGACATAATTCTTTCACAAGACAAGGTTGGACCAATTTAGAATATTTACTGTTGTTTCCAAACGAAACTTTTGAGTTAAGGTTGTAAAATTGGTGTTTTTAAAGATCTTTGGTAAAATTCAAACCTTTTTCATAATAAATCTTAGACAAATCTGATATTACACTACAATACATACCGGGCCTGCAGCTGTTTTATTCACATCTATCAAAAGGGCAGAAAATGCAGATTGTCCATAGCAATCAACCCGCAAACCTGAAGTTATTTTAATGGTAAATAACTAATTATTAAATTATTAATATTTGTGTTTGTAATATTAAGACATCAGTAGGGGGACACCTTCCCTAAATATCCATCTTTAGAAAAATAGTAGCCTGATAAATATAAACGATATGATAAATGTCATTGTAGCGATGTTGTTAGTAATTCTTACCTATTTGTGTTTTATCTTGGTGGAGAATAGGCAATTCTGGTCCCTCACTCCCAATACCGACGGTCAAGGCGATTCCGACGTTCATGTTCTGAAATTCTTCGGTTTGCACGAAAACACCCAAACCATTTTGAGAAAAGGTAATGAAATCTGGAAAATTCAATTTGCTCTATTAATTCAATTATTCATGGCTTAATGCTACAGTAATAAATTCAAAAGTAATTAAATTTTCGGTTAATAAATATAAAATTGTGTTACGTTTTTACGTTGAATCATTGTGAATGGTGAAAAATGGTAGTTGTCTCTTTGAAGAGAAAACCCAATAGATTTTCGCGTTTCTTTAAAAAAAAATCTCAGAAAATTCTTTTTCTGAGATTTTTTGATTTCTATCAGTAACCTGATTTTTTAATATGAGGGGGAAGCCTTTTTTGTGTTTTGATAGGCTAATGGACAGTTTTTAGTTTAGTCTTATTACAAATCAAATTTCCGTTTCTCTACCACTATATGTACCGTATGTATCATACCTGGTGTCAACACTAAGTACACATCTCTGAGTAAGGTAACATCGCATCGTTTGAGATTACTTAATGCCTCGTAGTACTGCATGGCGGCCGCCTTCACGCCTTGAGTGCCGCGTCCCACGATCTCACATTCATCATTAATTTTGCCCGAAAACGGCTGGTATGTCCATCTTTCCTATAAGTAAATAGCTATTTTAAGATACTGAATCTATTGGAATACTGTTAGTAAATTACATAAATATTGATATACCACATAGCTAATAACTACAAATAATAAACTCTTTTAGGTTAGGTTAGTGATACAGTGTTTTAATGATCCTAGAACAGGGGTGGCCAACCTCTGGCACGCGTGCCATAAATGGCACACGACATAATATTTTGAGCACGTCGAAAGTCATAAAAACACTACGAAAGAATGAAGTAAGTGCACCATGGAATTGACGTAATAATCGCAGTCAAATATTTTCGATGGCACCTCTAAGAACGCATTAAATATTCGCCACCCCTGTCCTAAAACCACGGATATTAATAAAAGCCGTACCCCATAATAAGCGTCAGTAACATCCATAGGTGCGTTTAACAACACACTAGGTAATGATGAGTTCTCTCCCGGCCATTTCATTATAACAACAGGGAAACCTCGGACTCCTTCGAACACTGTTACTTCCACGTTCTGAGCATCTCCTAGTCTTTTCCAAAAATCTACAGCTGCGGCTAAAATATATACAAAGGTTATTATCAAATTAATCATAAAATTTTACCTATTTAAACCAGGAGATAAATAACTTTCTTACTGTTGGTTTTAGATTAGTTCTTAATTAATATTATCTAATATTAATTACCAATGAAATTGAGAAGCAAAAGTTTAGTGTGGTATGGACATGTTATGCGGAGAGAGGAGGGGGACATAAACCAGAAAGTATTAACATTGAATGTGGATGGCTACAAAGATAGAAGAAGACCGAAGAAAATAAGGATGGATTGTGTGAAAGATGATATGATTAAGAGAGGAGTCGATTCAGATATGACAGTTGATAGAGATGTATGGAAGAGCAGCACATACTGTGCCGACCCTCCTTAAGGGATAAGGGCAAGTTGATGATGATGAATATTAATTAATTAGCAAAATTATTTTCTACTAATAATGAAAATGCCAAATAAATAAAGTTATTTGAAGTTTTGCCTTTTATTCACCTAAATAATTTAATTAATACTGTAATGTTACTTACACAAGTCCTGTCCCGATACAGTATTTATGCCGATATATTCTTGGAATCTCAACACTTCGGGTAAACAAATATATTCCTCGCACTTCCGTGGTTCAGAACTAACAAATACATTTACTAGGCATAGACCTAACAAAATCTGCCGTAGGTGTCTCATTGTGAATTACGTAGTTCTATTCTCTAGATCTCTGTAAACTATACAATATCTTCTTCAGACCTAAGTAAATTTCAGATTTTATTTAATTTATTAATTTACATATACTTTATATTATAAAGAAGAAAGATTTATATTTTGTACGTATTGAAATAACTCAAAAACTACTGAACCTATTTCAAATATTCTTTCACCACTAGAAAGGTAATATATCTACGAGTAACATACAAGTAGGCTATATCTTTTTTTTTCACGGGGACGAAGTCATGAGCAACGGCTAGTGTATCTATATAAATATTAACATGTACTTTCAAAATTTAAACTTTTTTCAAAATGAACTTGCTTATTAAGTTAGTTAAAACTTACCTTTGTGAATTTTAATTCCGAGTTTTAAACTTATCTTAGTAAATTATTTTACCTTTTAAATTTAACAAGTGAATTTTAATAGTTATCGATTCCTTATATAAGACCACTCATGTTGTAGTTTTACTACTAAAAAAATACTATCTATGCTTTTAAATTTAAATATTAATCTAGTATCACGTTATTTCAGTAATGTTTACTGGCTTTTTAAAATAATTCCAACCTTTACATTTACCAGATGTAGTGTGTTTAAGTTGATATATCGTTTTTTACAACATAACCACGAAAAACAGGGCATAAAATGATAAAACTATTGGCATGCAAAGTTATACAAAGTACTAAATTAAAATATGGTTAAAAAGTCGCTCCGATTATCGTAATCCTTACCCGTTTTACTTGTTTGATATTTATGCAAATTATTGTAACGTTCGGTATATTGCATTGATTAAATTCAGTTATCAAGTCAAATATATAATTAATTAAACTATGTGTAAACAAGCCTTAGAAAACTCCTCTTCCAATAACTGTATGTGTAGATAAAACAAAAAAAAATATAACAGAATTTATGGTTTACTAGCTGTTCCCATGCGACTTCATTCGCATAGAATTATAAATATTTCATTTCATTTAATTGTTCACATTTATCAAATTATCAATTGCTAATGTCAAAATGACATGACATGATGACAAACCATGGCAACCTTGCTTCCTTGATGTTGGCAGCAACTTATGGTCTCTTTCCCACATTAGGGTTTTTATCCAAAATATTTACCGCTAGGTTTAGGTACCTGCGTGAAAAGTTGTAGCCTAAAGCGTGACGTAAGTGTAGGGCTTTTTATTAAAAAAGAGTTATTCCAAAAAAAATATGCTGTGATTGCTGACATCTTAGGCAACAAAGAAGTGGGTGTTTACGCTTTATTATATCAAAAAGTAAAAAAAAAGTATGGAAGTATAGATTTGCTTTTTCAGTATAAAATACCATACATATTACGATATATTCGAACATAATTTTGAAAAGAATCACCGTAAATTACAAACTTTTCGTAAAATATGAATGTATACTTGTATTCCCTTTAAGAACGTTTCGACTTGTACATATTCGTCTATGTCGTGAAGCAATAGTTCCGTGCGAGGTAAGTACGCTAGGCCGATCGCGGGTATTCCCCGATTCCTGATCGAGACCATATCTGATGTAGCTGGGAATACGATTGGAAGCACTTTTATACCCCTGCAAATAAAGGTAATTTTAGGTCTCGCTCACTCTTTTTGAAAGAACAAAGATAATGATGTCTGCTACACACGCTCAGTTTTGAGTGACTGTTATATGAATGCATCTTACATATCCTTCATTGCGTTGTCCACAGCTACCCAATAAGGATTGGCAGCATCTAATTTCGTTGGCTGTGACACTTCGACTCTTCTAATGTACGATATATCAGTGTCGTTACCTACTTCAGAAATCCAAGATTGTATCTGAAATATTTAAATTCATAAAACATTTCTACTTCATAAATAGTTCCAAGTTATATATTGCAAGTTCCCGGAGAAAACCAGTCATGTAATAATAAGATATTTTTTAACTTTTGATATTTTATTTAATTCATCAATGACCATAAGCTATAATTTCTTTGAAGTAAGATTTGGATTGTTAATAAATGAATAAGGATAATTAATTTTAAATATTTATCATACCATTGCTTCAACATCACTAATATTAGCTGATACCGCAAGTCGCATATCGATCACCACAGTTATTTGAGTTGGTATTACATTTGTAAAAGTACCACCCTGAAAATGTCAAAGATAATCAAAAAGGATCAAATATACATGAATATATTTCTGAGGACTTATCACGAATATTCGTGAGAAGGTTTTCGTAACGTAAAATCGACATAATTTGTTTTAGGTTTGTGCAGCGTCCATAAAGTACACCAACATATCTAATACAAATTTTATTGCTAACCTTACGAGAGGGTTTTCGCAAGTCACGTAAATATTCATGATAGACAATAAACAATGAAAAACTTATGGAACGGTTTACAAAAAAATAAACCTAGATCAAGGAGGGCTTACCCTAATAATATTCACATTAATTGAAGTGTAAGATCCATAATCCGTTGCAGCTCTTGACAATTTCATTTGTCTCTGTTGATCGCGAAATTTCGAAGTGATAGCTAATAACCGTCGTAACTGAAAAAATATCAAATCAGTATTAATCTGTATAAAAAGTGCGTATTGCATTAAACGTTTCACCTTTTCAACTGCGGTTCTTTTAGGTAGCGTCGCGGAGTGGCCGCCTTCTCCGTATAATGTTAAATTAACTTCTGTAAAAGACACATTTTATTAATTTCTTCCTCTCCCGCTCTTACTCTACCTTTCTCTTTCCCTCTTATCGTGATAGACATTTAAAAAAATACTCACGGAAAGGTCTTTTATCTTGATACGAGACGTATACCGTATCATCGGGCGACGCTATACCTTCATCGAAAAAGAAACCAGCATTCAAAGCTTGGAACGCCTTTGTGTCGATAAAAGGAATTATACCATTAAAGCTACCAGTCTCTTCATCTGAAATATGCTTTAGTATTAATGTAAACATGGTCTTTTATTTAATATGAACCGATGCAATTGAACATTTACTTTAATATGCAATATTTAAGCATTATGCTACGACCTTTAGAAGGTCAACATGTTGATAAGGGTCTGAAGACAGTGAAGGAGTTAGGAGTTACGAAATAATACCTGGAAATAATAATAGATGTATAGTCCGTCGCAATCTGACTCCTGATATCAAAAGCTTCCTGACAGCTTCTAAGTAAGTGATGCTGAGGGTTTTGGTATCTTGTGTTCCGCGTCCAAACAGTTTACCATTTTCATCAATGTATGCAGAAAACGGTGGATATGTCCAGTTTTGCTAAGATTTAAACAAAGAACTTAAACACTGCTAACTAAATTGCTTTTTTATACAAATAATAACCACTACGTTTGTTTTTACTATGGACTACTTCAACATTACCCGTTCAACAGGTACTACATCCATATGAGAATTGAGAACAATGCTTGGTAGTTTAGGATTCCTGCCACGCCATGTAATCACGCAAACTGGTTTGCCAGAAGGACGGTACACCGCAAAGAGCAGGCCCAATTTGTCCGCTTGATTTTTCCAGAATTCTACAGCGCACTCTGTTTTAAATAATATTTCCTAACATTTGTAAAATAAGTTATATTACGTAAAATTAATGCAATACTTATAATGGAAGAAAAGGTATATATTCAAAAATTCGTTAAATGTCTAATGACCGGTTTCCCAGCTCTGTTTAACTATTCTTAAACGTTTTTGGTTTGATAACTTTATGAAATACGTTTCCGAACTATGTAACTTGAGTTTTAATCTATTGAAACATAGTTCAAATATGTAACGATAAAATAAATAGAAAGATCGGAAACCCAGCATAAATACTAAAATTGTAGTAAAACTCTAAATACTAAAGTAGTATTTGCATGTTAGTGTTGGTCTTCACTGCCCGAACAGATCTTTACTCTCATCTCTATAAAGTAACAATGTTTTAGTGTTTCGATAGTGGAAATGCGTGATTATTTTTTATTTATGCGATTCGAATTATAAAAAAAAAACTTACCAATATTTTTTTCTTTACTTGTATCAATTCTTATGTAATCTTGTAAAAGTTTTACAGATGGATTATTACATTCTCTAGGCGAACACTTTCTTATAATAATTGGACTAGTTAAAACTGTATAGGATAGTGCGAAAAAAATTATTAAAGACGGTACAGACATTTTTGCGTTCGCGGTCGTTTTTGCTTTCCGATTGTTATGTATTCAAGGTTGGATGCTACTTATGAATGCAATGCAATTAAAAACTTTTTTACATATAGATATCGGTCAATCAACCGAAATTCACCACGTGTAAGAAATGTAATCAAATTAGGTGTTTTTAAATACAAGAAAATCACACCAGTCTATTAAATTATCAGATATTTTAATTATTACACTCTATTTTTGTTCACTGCTGCATTGCATTACCTATTCAATGATTTTAGAATACCTGTTTACCTTATTTGTATAATAATATACTATATAATATGCTATAATGTGTCATAGTAATTAAATAATTGGTATTTGTGGAAATGAAATAAAAATAGATTATTGTTTTATTGTAGTTTTCTACCAAGAAAACACATTTTGCTTTATAAATTACGACACATGATTATGTCAAATTGGCTACCCTTTTCAGTATGTTAGCGTACACTCGTATTCCTTGTTGAAATATAGCTATGTTTATATATTCATCTGCAGCGTGTATTCGCGGCACGGTATAAGGTCTGTAGGCAAAACCAATCGCAGGGAATCCTTTATTCCTCACTACAACCATGTCGGACGTGGCAGGACACACGATCGGCTCTATCTGTAGATCCCTGGAAACGTATAGTTATATAATATACTAGCTGTTGCTCACTTCTGCGTGGAATTAAAAAAAAATATAAACAGCATAGCCTATGTTACTCACTGATAACGTAGCGTTTTCATGGTGACATTTTTGAAATCGACCCAGTAATTTTTGAGTTGTTTTAATATGTACAAATATACAAATCTTTCCTCTTTAAATATTAGTATAGTAGAGTATTGGTACTATCGAAATACTTAAAAAAAGATATTGTTATAATTCTCATTGTCTATGAAAGGTAGAGTAAAGCCATAAACAACACTTTTGACTAAATAAGAGTTCGTAAGTCAGCAATGAAATAATTTGAAATTGAATTTAGTTTTCATTATTTGTTCATTAAAGTAAATCAATAATTTTTAAAAGCGCATTATTATAATCATTTTTTTGTGACTGAATGGCCACTGTTTGCCTTGAAGAGGCATTTAAAGATTCACCGGGCTTGAGGCGGCCGAGCGCAGATGGCGCTTAGTTCACCTCGTTTATGAGTAACTAAGCTCGAGGGCTCCCTCAGGAGCCTCGGAACGAGCCGTTACCTCGTTATTATTACAGGATTAGGATTACAAGTGAATAAAATAACTTACATATCTCTGAGAGCGCTAACTAAAGCTACCCAGTACGGATTAGATCCATCCAGGATAGTGCGTTCCGACACTTCTATTTTCCGTATGAACGAGACTTCAGTATCATTGCCTACCTGCTCAATCCAAGACTGTATCTGAAATTTAGACTAATTATCAATCAGCAAGGCAATACTTAAAGGTTAGGAATTACAGAGAATTCGTTTGAGTGTTAGCTGAATGTTAAATTATTGTTCTCTTCCTTTTTTTATACGGCAAGGGGACACGTCAGATGTGGTCTTTCTGTGACTCCCTTTCTCTGTCGATTTTAGGAAACGCATTTGCAAATGATGATGTATGTAAATGTATGTATGTAAGTATGCTGATATGGTGGTGGTCACTGGTGATTTTGCTATGGTGGCGAATGCCAGCTCGTTTGTAAAAGACTATAAAATATTCAATATATTATATGCGTTACAATCTTACTTACCATAGCATTGACGTCACTAACTTGAGCAGATGTCGCGAGCCTCATGTCGATTACCAAATTAACATTACTGGGTATTATGTTCGTAGCAACGCCGCCCTGAGATAACAGTAAAACTCATTTTTAACAATCTTACGAAGTTACGATAGGCATTTCGTACCATATTATGTGTCACTAGCTTTCGCCCGCGACTCCGTCCGCGTGGAATTTAAAAACAAAAGTAAGTAGCCTATGTGTTCTTCCAGATTATCCTCTACATCCAAACCAAATTTCAATGAAATCCGTTCATCCGTTTAGGCTAGAAACTCTAACAAACATCCATCCATCTAAACTTTCGCATTTATAATATTAGTATGGAGTATTATTATCTATTATACTGTAACTAATTACAATATAGTTAAATTATTCCCAGACAACTTACATTAATTATATTAACATTAAGGGTTGAGTAAGACCCGTAATCAGTTGGCTCCTTGGAACTCATAATTTTTTTCTGTTGTCTCCTGAATTCTCTTGTAATATCCAATAACCGTTGCAACTATTAAATTGACAACAAAATTGAAAAATCAATTTAGAAAAATACAATTAAATCTAAATAACGGTTTAAAAATGAAATACGATTGTTTAATACCTTTTCCATAGCACTATCTTCTGTAATTGTAGATCCATGGCCACTTTTTCCGTGAAGTGTTACATTAAGCTCTATAAAACCGACACATATTTAAAAAAGGTCTATTTACATAAAAAACATTATTTACTAAAGAAATGAAGAGAATTAAGAGAAAACATCTATAGTAGGAAAATGCCTTCAAAATCCACGAAACTGGAATTAGAACATTTTTATCATGAATCATATATTTTTTTCCACCACCAAGTATTTCCTGTAGAAAAGTTGTAATATCAAATTTCTTATCAGTGATTCTTTATTTCAACAATATTTATAATTATATTAGTTTTAAGAACAGCAGATGCTTACGCCAAGGTCTTTTATCTTGATATGTAGCGTACAGTTTGCCGTCAGGAGACGATAAACCTTCGTCGAAAAAGAATCCAGGGTTTAAGGCACGAAATTCTTCAGTTTCAACAAAGGGTATCATACCATTAAAACCGCCAGTTTCTTCATCTGAAATTAATTATCATTAGTTAATTAGGTTGGTAGTTAATTAGTTAGTTATTCCACAATTTATTAGATTGTAGATTAAATAATTAAATTTTTTTAACACAAGCTAATTTCTTAGTTACTTAAAAAATCATAATGGACCTGGCATCAGAAGCACGTGAATAGTTCGCTGTAATTTAACGCCTTCTTCTATGAGAGTCCTGATGGCCTCTATATAGGTGATGCTAAGTGCTTTGGTGTCCTGAGCCCCACGGCCGTATAGATCTCCGTTCTCGTCGATATATCCTGAAAACGGTTCATGTGTCCATTCTTGCTAAAACAATAATAATAACCTTTAAATTTGATACGTTGATGATATTTTATTTAGGTAATATAGATAGATAGAATAGCTGATTATTCTAAAATATATTGTGATGGAATAGCGTTTTACACATTTCGAAGTATAAAAGTTATATGTTTTTTATTAAAGTTTTTAGCAATACCTTTGCGACTGTTACGACATCTGTATGTGAATTTAATATAATACTCGGTAGTTTAGGATTGCAGCCTGTCCATGTTATAACACAGATCGGCTTTTTTGCTGGTCGGTGTACTGCAAATGGCAGATTTAAAGCGTCTGCCTGCCGTTTCCAAAACAAAACAGCTGATTCTGAAAGTGAATGTTAGTTAAGATAAGAGAAGTTACTCTAGCTTTTTACGAGAAAAGAAATACCATAATCTGTAAGATCGCAGACTAAGTTGTGTCCAACTATGCATAGGTCATAAAATAACAATCATAAAAAACTTGGTCGCTGTATTCAGAGGGTTAATACCTAAAATGGTATAAAGGTAATTCATGTATTTACACAATAATTAATTGCGTATTTACAATTTAAATAACAAAGGTATACATAAATATTTAAATACTTCAAGGTTTCAAGGGCGTGAATCGTATGCGTAGATAATGTTTTTGACTTTCTAAAGGCTAAGTGACCCGTTTTTTATACTTCCTTTACAAACTGACATTGTTATATATCAATATGGACATTGGCATATTGCTGTGAGAGCAGACATTTTAGATTGGATGTTATGAAACTACAATTTATACATACTTTACTTATTCTAAAAACAAACTATATGTGCGATTATGTTTAACAAATATAATCCAAATGCAGATTCGAACCCTTGACTTTCCTCGACATTTCAAACCAAAATATAGCTTTGCACTTTATATTATTTATGGACTTTTACTAGTTTCGAATTTTGTATCTGTTTTATACAATGAAAAAATATACAAAACTCACCAACATTTTCTTCACGGCTTGTATCTATTCTTATATATTCTTGCAATAATTTCACCGTAGAATCATTCATTAATTTCTGTATCACATATTCCTTGGGTATTGGATTTGAAAATGTTAGGTTAAAAAGTATGAGCAGATATAATGAAATCATTCTTGAATACTGCTTGAGACCCGGCATTATACTGAATGTTGTAATGTCGCCACAGATATGTAAATTAATTAGTTCGCAGTAAAACTGTTGTATAATCAGGCAAATATAGTCACTATTACTCGCGACTTTATCCACGTGGAAATAGAAAAAAAAACTTTCGTTCGTTTGTAGAGTCAATAACTTATGTTAAAATTGAAAACAAAAAATAATCGGATTTGTTCTAAATAAAAACCTCTGCGTCCTTTCACTTTAAGTTCTTTTTATAAGCCGGTCGATGGTTTCTGATTTTTTCATTAAAACACATGGACTAATTGGTTTTGATTTTAGTTGACGATAATTTTATTGTATATCTTTACACTTGTAAACAAGTTATAAATCTTATTTTATCAGTAAAATATGCCCTAGATATTGTGTTGACATAATTTAAACGCTGTAAAGTATGCCAAATTTATACATACAATAAAATAGTGTCTGTAATATTGAAAAAAAACCATAAATATTCTGCGACCATGCTGTATTTGTGTAACTGATAACGTAAAAATAATAAAGTCATTCTTTTCGTCTGTGCGCAAGGCTGCCTTTGTAATCTCCGGGAAGGCATCTCCGATTGTAACAGGATTATGACGGAAAAAAAAAAGAGCGAAGTAGAAAGTAAGCACGCGGGAATATTATGCTCTACTGTTTAATCTTACTAATATCATAAATGCGAAAGTTTAGATGGATGGATGATTGTTACAGTTTGTAGCTTAAACTGCGGAACGGATCCTACGAAAGTCATCGATGTAGAGAATCTGGAAGAATACATACTCACTTTTTTTTCAATTCTAAGTTGAACGAACTCGCGGGCGAAAGCTAGTTCTGTTATAAACTTGCGGACGACAGCTAATTCCAAATAAAACTCTTTTTACAACTTACAAAATTTAATACAAAATAGAAATAATTACTATATTATTGGTTATTTTTAATAGGGTCTTTTTGTACTTTCTTAATGGTGTGTAGAATACTATAATCATCACTGATGGTTGCCATTTCTTCTTGCTGTTGTTGTTGTTCTTCTTCTCTCTTACGCTCCATCTCTTTGTAACCTTCAGCGTCGTCCAGAGCTGAGAAGACAGCATGCTTCTCTATTTTGGCCAATATCTTTTTATCATGGTACGAGTGACAATGCGGATTAGCCCTAAAAATTAGTTTATTTTTTAATAAAAAAACATATGACTAGTTATTTCGTCAAGGTCATGTCTCTAGTTTTCACAGTTTTTTATTTATTTTTATTATACTAAGTTACTGAAAGAAAAATTAACATGACATTTGAAATTGGAACAATAAAGAAAAAATTGAACCTAGATTGTTTGAGTAAAAAAAGTGTATTTGCATGGTACTAAATTAATGGTTTAAACATATTAAAAGCGGCAGATTTTTTTTTCTATTCTTTCAGATCCTTTGGAACCAAATGTATCACACCCAGAGATAAATCTATGGTTGGTTTATATATTGGTTTACTATGGTTTATGGTTTATACATTTCTATACTACTATGGTTTATACATTTCTTATTCACACTGTAAGCGAGATACCAGGTTTTTTAGACCTGGTACTGCATTAAACGTTTTATTAAGAAACATGTAACAGTTTCCCACCTGTTTAATACAACATTTCCCTTAGTGACGAGGAAGGCTGTACATTTGTTATTCCTGTAATCAATGCAACGCCATCGTTTCACGCCAGAGTTCTGAGTGGAATTCAAATTGTACATATATCTGTTCAATATAACTTGTAAGGAACCTCTAATTGACACTGTAAATTGTAAACTGGTGTTGGAAGTTTGTGGTAAATTCGTGCTCGGTGTTGACCCTTGTACTGAAACAAAACAGACAAAACAAACACAGTTAAAGAAATAAATTTACGATATATGATATCCCTTCCTTATAAACTAGCTGTGATCGTGCGGCTTCATCAGTACGAAATTATAAAAACTTTATTTTATTGTTTACTTTTCGTAAAACTTTCATTTGCTAAAGTTCAAATTCATTGCAAATGTATTGATTAACAATTACCATGGCTTTGTTTCTATCGCTTCGTTATTTTTGTCCCTTTCTCGCATTGCTATTTTTTCAGTTTATTAACTCTTTGAGATGAGTAGCGTGAAAATATTCAGCCTAATGTTAAGGTGTAGCGAGTCTAATTTAAAAAAGGATAAACAAGAATATGCTGTAATTGCGATCATCCTACATAACAAAGAATTAGTAATTACTAGATGTGGTTTCTTTCATACAAACCTAAGATAACGGAGGAAAAGGTAAACTCATCAGACTACGCGGAATTGCTTCTATTTCACAACAGTTTTTTGTGTGGTTGTAGTAATGTATGAATACTAACCTTTCACATTATTCCCCAAGTTTCTCTTTTTGGTAATAACCGCGTAGTCGTCGTCGTCATCATGGTTGTCGTTACCGATATTGTCGTAGTCAGAGAACACTTGAGAATCTTCCTTCACATTGCTACTTTGTGGACTTTGTTTCATGGATCTAAAAAAAAAACAAGGTTTTTATTTAGGTTTAAGTGATTTTTATTTTTATTTTACTTTAACATGATACTAGCTTTCACTCGCTACTCTGTCCACTTGGAATTGAAAGATATAAATAAATAAAAAACTCTTTATTAGACAAAAAACATTTTTACAGAATCAATTGGGGCTCTGTCTCCTGAACTAATTATAACAACTGTGTTTCATGAGAAGGTCCTGTCTTCTCTTATCAATTATCATATTTAATTAAGAGTAAGTTGCTACATAACAAAGGAAAATATAATATTATAATATATATTACAGTTAATTTAGTGTGTGATATTGCATGTGAGTATGTGTGTGTATGAATCCGAGTAAGTGCGTGAGTAAGTGCGTGTGTTCGTGTGTGTAGTATATGTGTGAGTGTGTGTATTTAGTTATATAATATACATTTTATAACCTATACATTCTTTCAAACAGTATTCTACATCTATACCAAGTTTCATCCAGATCCATACAGCCATTATTGAGTCACATGGTAACAAACATCCATCCATCCAAACTCTTGCATTTGTGTTACTAAGATAAAATTAATAAAAATAAAACAAATGTTAATAGATTTCAAAAAGTAAGTAAGTAAAGTAAACCTATGTTACAATAATAGTATTTTCTTACCTAGTTACAGGAGATTCAGTTTGACTGTGTTTTATTATTATCTTGCGTGCATTCAGTGGTAAGCTTTCCTGTAATATGAATATTAAAAAAATCATTCCAAAAATAATAAAAAAACGTTATTAGAAAAATTAGCTCTAAAATTTCCACATCAATAATGTGAAGCTTGAGGAATGGAGTTTACTAACCAAAGGACAAGCAACAAGCCCCCTTAAAATAACATTCAAATAGGAATTTTGCTAGTAAAAACTCCTAAACATATACATTGCCAAGGGGAGAAATACATCTGCTCCTAGAGATGCGAAAAATGAAAAATAAAAAAACTATTTCAAATTAGACCATAACATTTTTAATAACTTGCTTCTTAGATCTACCCTACATTGGTTTAAGTTTGTGCGACAAAATGTTTCAAATAGCATAAAAATTAAATTAAAGTTATTCTGAGTTCCATACATTTTTTGGATTTCACATCAGCAAAATTGCAAGTTGAATGTTACCTTTTTTAGGGCCGAGGAACTTCAATAGTTCCCAGCCATTTAAGATAAAGTTAAAATTTGAATTCACCTGTCCTATAGAAATATCTTTATTAGCAGAAACTAATCTTTTGAGCCCAGGAAAAACCACATGTTTACTGTTTTCATCACTTTGTTTAGTTGATGTACTAGTAACTGGTGTGTCATAGCCAACCTGAAAAAATTAGAAAGATTGCTTGTGTTCATATAGTTCAACCCAGTAGTTTCTAAGTTATTTCAATACATACATAAAGTATTACACTATAACATTGTGTAGAAATATCATTAAAAATCTCTTAATCAATTATGTTTATCTCTCAAAATTAAGAATATTTATCAATTACTTACAATAGTTTCAAGTCCCTTTATATGTAGAGCTTTAGCTGCATCTACAAATGCATTAAGATTGACTGATGGAACGAGTGCCTCTCCCGTGTAAATATATTCCAGCAAATGTGATAATGTTGTATATGATACATTCTGAAACATCCAATATCTTTGAAGCAATAGACTTACTAGCATTGTTCAGCTGCACATAATTAAAAAAAAAGGAGTAAACATGCCAATTTTACATGATAAAGTTGTTTATAATAGCAAAAGATTTTTTAAGATTAATCTGTTCAGTAATTTTTGAGTTTATTTGAAACAAAAAAAGTTATATGATTATGTCTTCAATTTTTTTTTGCTATACATTGACTTAAAAGGTATGTATGGAGATGTATTCCATTCAATTTGAAATAAATACTGACATTAAGAAATATAACTGGGTGTTGACATGGGGCAGAAGCCAACAGTTCCTTGATATATGGACTAGCAAGCGCTAGCAACACTTGGTGGACCTTCACAAGATGGCCATCAGCTGCCAGGGTCATGTCAACAAACTCCCCATTCTAAAAAGAAAATTAAAACAAACATAAAGAAAACTGACTTATCATGCTGTTGTTAAAAGTCTCACAAATTTATTTAAAAATTAAATAGGATTTATTAAAAAAAAAAACATTTATAATAAAATTAAGTTGAAAAATAAAATTACAAAATATTAAGCTAATAATGTTCAGTATGAAACTTGACTTGGTCCTCCATGTCATGAAGTAGTTTAATGTTTGACAATTTTATAATTATGCTTGTTAGTTTTCTATAAGAGTAATTTAATTATACTTTGAACAAAAATGTTCTATACCATTTTTTTTTATTGTGGTATTGTATTGTGCTGAGTGCATGTATTTTGAACATTATTATTGGAATACAGTTATACCTGCTGCAAAGCACTAAAGCCGCCACAGATGTTAGTTTTGTATGAATCCCAAGACAACGCGAATTGTGGTTGCACCATTTTACATTATTTACCTATTATGGCTTATTATTAAACTACAGAAAAGAATATAACATACACTTGAAACAAACTTTATTAATTACAAATAATAATCAAGAAAGTATTTTGGAAAAAAACC